CCCACCCCTCCCGCCCCCCTTCGTCGTCTCACCCAAACCATCGAGCGCGCGCAGGCCCTCCACGACGAGCTCAAGTACGACATCCCCCTCGAAGCGGGCGGCTCGGCACGAGTCGCGGTCCTCCACTCCTCCATGGCCGACTCCGCCCGCTCCAAGATCATGGCGCGGTTCCGCGCGGGCGAGGTATGGGTCCTCGTCACGACCGACGTGCTCGCGCGCGGCGTCGACTTCGCCGGCGTCAACGGCGTCGTCAACTACGACGTGCCGACGTCGGCCGCCGCCTATGTGCACCGCGCCGGGCGCACGGGGCGCGCGGGCCGCGAGGGCGGCGTCGCCGTCACCTTCTACACCAAGGACGACATCCCCTTCGTCAAGAGCGTGGCCAACGTCATTGCCGCGAGCGAGAAGCAGGCCGGGGTCCAGGCCGATGGCGGCGGTGGCGGTACCGTGCAGAAGTGGCTGCTGGACGCGCTGCCCAAGGTGGCCAAGGAGGATAAGCGCAAGTTGAAGGTGCGGGGTGTCGAGTCGCGGCGCACGGGCGGCAAGGCGACCATTACGACCAAGAGCTCGTGGGAGCGGCGGCGGGAGCATAACCGGGCGCAGGCGGTCGAGGCGAGCAAGAGGCGGAAGAGGCAGCGGCGGGAGGAGGGGCCGGCGGCGGGTGAGGCGGAGGGGGAGTGGGGGGGGTTGGAGGACTGAATTGAGTGATGGATTGATTTGTTGATTGATTGATTGATACCCGCGTGTATATGGAACAGAAGAAAGAGCAGGCGAAGACGCAGAGGGTGTCTGTCTATGAGATAAATGTGTATGTATTACAAAGCACTACAAGACGCTACTGTCACAGGCCCAAGGCCAAGCAATCACTGCCTATCTTAGGTGTTGCCGAGAAGAAGAAGCCCGCCCGCTCGCCATCCCTCCTGGCGTGTTCCCCCCGTTCTCCCTGGCAACGCATACCAGACCAGGTCTACTAATACCCCGCGGGCCGATACATCCACCTGGCCGGGTCAAAGATGACCTCAAAGCCCGTCTGGCCGCACGTACCCAGGGCACAACTCAGGTCATGATAGCCCTCGAGGCCCGTGACAGGCAAGTCCTCCTCGGCATCGGTCTCCTCATGCAGGTTCCAGCGCCCAACCTCGCGCCCGTGCCGCGTGAAGAACACATCGGCGTCGATGCGGCCGCCGGCGTCGCGGAAGGTCATGCCGATGCCGAGGCGGTCGCCGCGGGCGAAGGGCGCCGTGAAGGCCTTGCCGCCCCAGCGGTCGTTGATGAACTTGTGGCCGTCGTCACCGTGCACGGCCAGCGAGCCGCGGTGCCAGCCCGGCATGCGGAAGGAGGGGTAGGGCAGCGCCGTGAAGCCCATGGCTAGGCAGATCTCCCGCGGGTTGGCGTGTGTGAGCTGCACCTCGTAGTAGATGGTCTTGCTGCGCGTGGGGTTGGTGGGAGCCAGTGGGGAGTGCAGAGTCACGGTGTAGAGGGGCGGGTAGGCGATGATGCTAGGGGTGGTTGGTTAGTTTGGTTTGGTTGGGTGCGGTTGGTGAGGGGGGTTAAGAGGAGGGGGAGGAGGTGCTTACGTGGAGTCGTATGCGTTCGAGTCGGTGCTTCCCTGCCAGACGCCGGGCGCGGTGCATGCGAGGGTGCCGCGGTACAGGTCGGGCTGCATCAAGCGCGGGTTGTGCATGTTGAGCGCATGGACGGCCGCGCCATCTAGGGTGATGGGTGCGGTTAGTGGGTGCTGGGCACACCAGTGCTCACCAGCTTCGGCCTCGGCTTCGGTGGCATTGTTGGCGGGGGAGCGGTCAAAGCCGGAGAAGAAGCTGGGGGGCGGCGGGAAGAGGGATGTATCCGGCACGACGGCCTCCCTGGGAATTATTAGTGGTCATTCGAGAGGAATGGGAGAGGGGCGCGCACCAGTCATGCTTGGGTTTGTTGTCAGCTGGCGGCGGACCCGGAGGCGGTGCCATGTAGCCCATGTCGTGGTGACCCGGCGATGGACCAGGCGGTGGTGCCATGTAGCTCATGTCGTTGTGAGACGGAGGAGGGCCCGGCGGAGGGGCAAAGTCAGGGCCGTCTGGGACCCTGTGGCCGGGAGGCGGTCCGGGAGGAGGAGCGAAGTCATCACCACCAGTTTGTCCCCGGAACGGAGGCGGTCCCGGAGGAGGAGCGAAGTCATCCCCGGGTCTGCTGGAAGGTACCGGGGGAGGTCCGGGTGGTGGGGCAAAATCATCAATCGGAGGTCTCTGCGACGGGGGAGGTCCAGGAGGAGGAGCAAAGTCATCGCCGGCTGGAGACACCGCGGGCCTTGAACCCGGAGGAGGACCTGGGGGAGCAGCAAAGTCGTCACCTGGTCTCGGGCCTGGAGGCGGGCCCGGCGGCGGGGCAAAGTCATCACCGCTGGAGTTCACCGGAGGGCGTTGGGATGGAGGGGGGCCGGGAGGAGGGGTATACCCGTGATTCGGCGACTGCTGTTGTTGCTGGAGGTACTGAGGGGGCAGACTCGCCCTCTTTTGGCCGTCATGCGGTTGCTGTGGCTGCGCGGGTCGAGGCGCCTCGGCCTCGCCGGCGTCATTTTTGCTACCGAAACACATGGCTTGCTTTGGTTGTGTGGTGATGTATCGTTGAACGGGGAATTGGGGCGGTAAAAGGAACACAACCTTCTCGGCGAGATATGTAAGGAAGTTAGTTATTGCTGTTGCGGTCTGTTCTTTCTCAAGTAGTCTAAGCCACAGTTAGGTTCCACGCATGAAAGGCGAACTGAGCGTGTTTGTCGTCGGTAATGCAGCCAGCCGCCGAAAACGCGTCTTGGTTTAACTAGGTAACCAGATTATGTGCCTTTTCTTGGCCGATTCCGTATTCAACACGGCGAATTCAATGCCCGTAGTCGAATACGCTCTCGCCAGGTGAGTTTGGTTGGGGTGGTGCTGATGGTCCACCGGCAGTGAATGTTGCAGCGAGTGACGGCCCCAAGAAGGGCTGTGCCAGTGCGCCAAGAAGGTGTTACCGCTGGGCAGTCATGTTACCCCCACAGTGCTAGTACCCCACGAACGGGCGGCCTCTTTAAGCCCGCATCGCCTGGAAGATGACGCCAGTATATTGATCACCGAGCCGAGAGAGGCTACAAGGGAGATGGGATGGATTCCGGATTACAGCGGCCTTCTACAGGTACATGCATGTTCTTGAAACAGAAGGGCAGGAGTCACGCTACGAAAATACGGTTTTGGTGGAAAAGATCGCTTTGTTATTGTCACCAGCTCGTGATTCTCATCGTTTTGCTACGTATGTACATAACTCAGGCATGTTATCTCAGATGTTCTGCACCAGCGACTCCTCCACCCCAAGGGTTCCCAGCCTCACAACCAGGACTTCCTTGTGGCTTAAGCACCCCACACGGATGCCTCATCGGGTTTAGGGTAGAAGAAGGCCACCACAGCGATAATGACGTAGGTAGACATCAGCAACGCACCCTCAAGGTAGTTACTCCTGCCGTCGAGCACCAGAAAGTTGGTGATGAAGGCCGAGACAAACAGGCAAACCGTTTCGAATAGGGTGAAATAGAGCGTCATCTGCCGGTCCAAGCCCCAGCCAATGATGACGACCAAGGGCGTGATGAACAGGGCGATCTGGATGGAGCTGCCGACGGCGACGCCGATGGCAAGATCCATTTTGTTCTTCACGGCCACCGTGATGGCTGTGACATGCTCGGCCGCGTTGCCCACGATGGGTAGGATGATGAGGCCAATGAAGATCTCGTTGACGCTGCTTGTCTCGACGAGCCCGTTAATCGAATCGACCATAAACTCGGCGCACACGGCGACCAGGGCGGTCGAGACGAGGAGCAGGATGACAGCTGCGGTGCGCGACAATTGACCGGTATTTTCCACCTCGGAGAGGGCCACTGTAGGGGGGTGAGCCAGCGGGATCTGCGAGGGCATCATGGCACCGGGGGGCCGGTAATGCTGGCTCAGGCGGTCCGGAAGGGAGTTGGTTCTGCGGATGCCGTAGCGCACGCGGGGGACCGGACCAGTAACGGTGTTCATCGCATTAGTATCTTGAGGCTGCGTGAAGACGGACGGTGCTAAACTGCTGACGACAGGACGGAAGGACATGCTGCGCAAGCCTCGGAAGGGGCTGCGGGTTCGTGGCTCCTCAGTCGCGTTTTGCGGGTCGACCGTGTCAGGAGTGAACTCTACTCTCCGAGGTTCGCCGCCCGAACGTTCGGCCTCGGTGTTCTCCTCGACCACGGGCTCGGGGGATTCAGCCATGTGCGACCGGTGCTTGCGCCTGCGGTGCCTTCGTGGTCTCGGCAGACGGCGACGGTGGCGCTTTCCATGGCGATGGGACCTGTCGTCTTCCATTTCATCACTTGCGCCGCTGCTCGATTTCTGATGAATCCGTGGACGAAAAGAAGGCTCTTCCGACTTGTGATCGTCTGTCGGAGGTGTACGGGCGACAACGGGACTGTGCTCGCCGGTCTCCGAAGAGACCACACTAGATCTCCGGCGACGGCGCATTACCCGCCTCATCCGCCTCGACATGGTGTTTCGGGAGTGGTCCGAGTCTGACGAATCCGAATCACTATCGGAGCTACTGTCGGAGCTCGAGGAGTCGAGCCAATTGGCCGCAGGGCCGGGCGTTGCCTCCTCGTCGATAATGTGCTGGGGTGTCGACTCGTATAGGTACGCGTGTGAGAGCAACTGGAAGAGCAGGTATACAATGTATACCAGGAGGAGGATCTACTTCAAGTCAGCTTGCGGCCACAATAACGAGGTGTTCGCTGTGGGGTTACTCACTACGCTGGTGCCGCGGCTGACCTTGAGGGACTGCTCATCAGCAAGGGCATTGTCACTGAATGAGGCGTGGAAAGCGGTCTATGCATGTTAGTGTTGTGATCCAACGCCGACAAGTTTTGAACGTACTGGCAGGACAAGGCTGATGACGCTCAGACTCAACAGACAGGCGCTCATCTGAGTCACGGTGCTATTGTAAATCTGACACGGTCAATATCCATCCATACTGAATAGAAGCAGCCGGACACTCACCTGCTCACGGTACCGCAAGCCTCCAAGGAAGAATGACATGCCCAGGATCAGCAGCAGGTTGGCCAAAATGGAGCCAAGGAGCGAGGCCTGGACAATGCGAATTTGATCCTTGACGAGTGCAATGCTGTTAAATCAGTAGTCAGCAGCGGTACATGGCCATATAATTGCAGGTAAAATGCAGGCGGCATGGGCGGTGCTTGCAACAACGTACATGCTGTAAACTGTTAGCTCATGATGCATACATGGTCCCGGACGACAGCCAGCTTACAAAATGATCAGTTCTACTGCGTTGCCAAACGTGACATTCAGCAGAGCACCGAGCGAGTCTCCGAGTCTATGGGCTACTGACTCGGTGGCGAAGCTCAGAAGGCCGGCCAGCGGGACGATAGCGACCGCGTTCATGGCAAAGATGACAGCCGGGGGCATGCTGTGAATCTGGGCGACGGCGATGCCGACTGGCACGAAGACGAGCAGCACATTGATCTTGGAAGAGAGCACGATTGCCTTGGTAGTGAACCAAAAACGCTGCATAACGGGCTTCTTTTCTTTGTTGTTGACATCCTGCTTCTCATTGCCTCCTAAGACAACCCCCGATTGTGCAGTCTGCGATGTATTGACGGTTTGGCCACTACTACTACTGTCGGGTTCAGTAGCCGGCGCGGGACCGGGCCCGCCGCCGCCGGGAGCGCCGCTGTGTGAGAGCGAAATTGAGTTGCCATTGCTGGATTGGCTAGGTTCTGGACCGTGCGAGCCACCGCTTACGGGAACCGGGTTGGAATTTGGTCTTCTCGACGAACGATGAAAGTCGCCATGCGATTTGGTGGGCTGATTGGAAGCTTCCTTCATCGAATTGGGTGTTGTGTGGGGAGATCTCGACACGTTGGTCGTGAAAATAGATGGCGGCCAGATGGACTGATCGCTGGGGTGTGTGTTGAGAGAGAGAGGCAAGAAATGTTGCGTTGTGGCAGGTGTTTTTATAGTTATCTTGCTTGGGAAGCTGCCAAACAGGGGGGGTTCCCTGCCGTGGCGCAGCCAAGGGTAAGTGCATCATTCCGCTTTTGGCAATGATTGAAATGCCCCACAAAGCCAAAAAGCATGGAAACCAGGAGATCCACAAGCTCTCGTCCCAACAACCCCACAAAGAGCATCCAAAAGGGCAAGTGTTGGCTTCCATTTAACTACTTTGTACGAAGTACACAGTACACAGGAGTTGACAGTCAAGACAGTCTATCCGCCCACAACGGCATAAATCTCTCCAACGTTGGCGGATGGCGTAAACGAAAGAGCTCTTATCTCGGAGCCCAAGCCTGTCCATCGCCAAGCAGCCACAGTAAAGCTTCTTCAAACTTGGCCTTTCTTGGAAAGCAACTCGCAGCAACGCCAAGCCCCACTCAACGGATGGAAGCTTAGAAAACGAATCTCACCCCGAGCTGTCATCATCGACGACGCCACTATGTGGGTCTGTAAGATTGCTCGATGCGACGCTTGGGCAAATGGAGGAGACTGCCACTGACTGGCCGTGCAGCCAGGTCAAACGGAAAACATCTTGTCCAGAAGTTTGTCGATGACCCCATCGGTAAATCGTGGAGCTGCTCAATGCACCCTGACGTCACAACCATCATGAATCATTTGAGCCACAACTCACGGAGGTCAAACTGACTGCGCCACGGTGCGATCCACAAACACATGTTGCGTATCAACCCAGCAGTCAACTCCTCAAACCATGGAACTTAGTGCAGTGTCATCATGAGCTGTGGTTGTGAAACTTAAAAGTATCTGGGACTGGAACACAAGATGATAGTTAACATCGAGGAAAACAAAGGGAAAGTACTGTGTAAAGAACACTGAAATCAGGTGGATACCACCTCCCTACGTCCAGTACGTCCTTCATTCGTACCTGTTCTTTCGCCTATCACTCGACACCAGATAGACCGCGTTGAGAACTTCGAATGACTTTTTAAACAAGAACCTTGGTTCGTACATCCGGAGACATCCTATCTTATCTTGACTACTTTTATCCAACTGGTTTCGAACTCAGAGAAAAGGAAATACCGTGTAACCAAACGCCAGGAACAGGGAAGAACCCGCTAAATATGTCCATCATATCCATCAATCATATCTCCATCAAATCATACCAGCCACCCCGTCTTATAAACTCAGATCATGAAACGCCAAACCCCCATCATACCCCCCTCAAAAATGGCCAAACCAAGCCAACACGACACGCTCCTGTCGCTCAACCACCCCTCCTCAAACTCAACAGCCTCTTAATCCCCGCCTTCTTCGGCCTCCCATCCATCTCCCCTCCCATTACGCCCCCCTCACTGCCGCCCCCTTCCGCGTCTCCACCCCTCTCACCCATCACACCACCCGCCTTCTCAAACCCCACACCGCCCGGTCCCCCCGCCACCGACGGCGTCACCATCCCCGCCCCACCCATATTCACATTCGCCCCCGCCGGCCCCTGTTGCTGGGCACCAGCCCTATCCCTATCCCCATCCTCCTCCTCCTCAGACCCCCCTTGCCCCTCCCCTTCCCCTTCCCCCTCATACTCATACCACAACCTCGGCACCACCAACCGATACGGCACGGTACTCCCGCCCGGATCCCGCGGGCTGATCTCCACATTGAGCGTGACCTCCATGGCGCCCGTGAGGTCGACGGCATAGTCCTCGGGGCGGAAGGTCTTGCGCTGCTTGGCCGACAGCGTCGTGGGGGTGCGGTGGAACGGTTTCGGCACGAACTCCCCCTCCTCCATCGCGGCGGTGGCCGGCAGTGGCTTGCCCTGTTGCTGTGGTTGTTGTGGGACGGCAAACCGGGTAGTTGGGCTAGGGGCGGCGCTTGTGGCCGCGCTTGCGCCCGTGATGATGGGTTTGGGCGGGACGGGCGGGCGGTAGTCGTCCGAGTAGCCGCCGCTGGAGGGCGGGGCGGGCGCGGGCTTGACCGTGAAGAAGCCCTCGTCGCCCTGGTCGTACTCGCTGTTGTATCCGCTGGGCTGGGTCTGGGCGTAGTCGCCGCCTAGGCCGCCGCGCATCCCGACTCCGACGGGGGCAGAGCCGCCACGGACATGGCCGCGCTGTTGTTGCTGGTACTGCTGGTCCTCCTCGTCCGTGTCCGCGCCCCACGTGCCGTTGATCCCGCCGTCGTCGCGCCTGCTGGCCGTACTGCGACGGCGGAAGAGCCCGCCGATGCGGCTCGACACGGAGGTGGAGGACATGGTGCGAGTAAGGAACCCGGGTTTGGGCGGGCCGGGCTTGCCAATGTCGTCAGCGCTAGCAGTGACAGCGCGGCGGGAGAACGACTTTAGGAGACCACTGGATATGGGAGGGCGGGACCTGTCTTTGGGACCGCCGTCGGGCCCGGTGGTTTTGGATCGGGAAAGGCGGCGGAAGATGCTGCTTCTCCGTTTCACGACTCCCCCACCGAGACCGGTAATGTCGTAGGCCGACCCTCCCGGTGTCGGCGGAGGCGTCTGGCCGGGCACGTACTGGCGGATGGCGCACCAGTTGCGGTGCGGGAGGAGGTGATTGTTATTACGTGGCTTGCCGTCGACACCGTGACCAAAAATGGGAATCATGTCCTCATCCGTCTCCTTGTCGAAGTGGTGCACCTTGTTGCGCTTGTTTAACACATCGGCAAGTAGATCCGGCGGCGGCGTGTTGACAATGGCAGACGAGATGATGTTAGGGATGTAACGGAAATCCTTGTGTTTGGCTAGACCAAGCTTGGGGTTTGAGTAGAACTGGCCGATCGCTGCCAAGTGGACATCTCCGCTAGGGAAAGTCAGTAAACAGCCACTTCCGATGGAGTCTTCCAACACTCACCTCAAGATTGTAACGCGGATCGACTTGTCCGCGGCCAAATCCTGCAAGTCCTCAATCACGAGGGCGCGCTCCTGCTTGTGGTTCTTGGCCGTCCAGTGGTCGTCGAGGTCGTCAAGAACCTCAACACCACCGTCAAAGCGGTTGAGCAGGCCCCCAAACATGCCCAGCTTAGCGAGCGCCTTGACAGGGTCCATAATTCGAGAAGTCAAGCTAAGAATGTCAGCATGGTTATTCTCAGGTGCTTTCTGAGAAGCAACTCACATATTCTCCAACCACACCAGCCTGGGATACGCGATCGGCACGCCCAGCACCACCAGCAAATGCTCGACCTTTCCCTTGTCGATCTCCCCATAGCACCGGTCCATAATCCTCTTCCACGTATCCTCCCGTATCACCTCGTCACGCGTCCGCTCGGTCCGCGAATCGACCGCCAGCAGCGCAACCTTGCCACCCAAAAACATGAACAAGCTGCGGCTGAGCTCACTGATGTACGGCCCCGGGCGCGTGCCGAGAATCCAGCTCGGCTCCGTCTTCTCCGTCTCGGCCATGACGCTCTGGTGCTGGAAGAGCATGTAGTACTTGAACCCGACGTTGCCGAGCCCCGAGAAGACGGGCGAGTTCATGAAGTGGTGGGGGTACGAGCCAAACCCGTCAATGATGTCGTGGTCGTCGTACATGTTGACCATGGGGATCTGTGCGTTGGCCATGCCGAAGAGGCCCTGCGAGAACCACATGCAGTAGCGCTCGAGGTAGAAATTCTCGAGCTCAGCCTGCATCTCCGGCGTGAAGGGCGCGTTGTGCTTGTGCAGCGGATTCTTGGTCATCAGCCACTCCTTGAAGATGGTCGTCTCCTGCATGCATTTGTCGTTGTAGATCTGGTCGCCGCCGCCAATCATGACGTGGAACGGCTGGCTCTGGTGGCTGTTCAACACGTCACGCCACATCGGGTCTGGCCCGCTGAACTGGTTGGAATCGGCGCTCAGGCTGAAGCCGTTGCAGCTGTGGAACATGATGTTCATGCTCTGGCCTTTGGCGGGGACCCAGAAGCCCGTCGAGGGACCGCGGTTGATGCGGTACGCGATGCGTTGCTGCTTCTCCCGGAGCTCGACCTCGACGTTAAACCGCCAGAAGGTATAGCCGCGCTCGGCGTGCAGCCTGAAGCCGCGGATATCCTTGTACTTGCCGGCCTTCTCGCCGTCCATCTCAGCCCGCTTCCTACGAGCGGCGAACGAGCCCGGGGGATCAACCATGCCGTCGGGCAAGGGAACCTCCGGCGGGCTACGCGACCTCTCAAACAGTCCTTCGTCCGTCTCGTTCCTAGAGACGTCTTTGGCCTCCTCGAGATGGTCGACCGGCCGAACGTACAAGGTCTCGCCCTTCCGGCCGAGCTTGGGATGTCCGGCGATCGGGTCAATGTACTCGGGCGCCAGGTCACCCTGGACCTCCCTCGGCGGCGGCGGGAGCAGCTCAATTGGCTGGGCAAACAGTCTGAGGATAGGGGCGATGTCGTAAGACGAGTCGGCATCTGTCGTCACGATCATGATCGAACCCCTCCAGACTTCCCGCTCGACGGCAACGCCGGTCCGGGTAAACCGGTTCGGTACCCGCTCATGTCGAATACCACAGTAACGCAGCAGCGGGCCGCACTTGAGATAAAGCGGCGGCTTGAATCTCGTCGGAGCTAGACACAAATCAAGTTAGCTTGCTCCCCCGAAAAGTATGAGAAACCAAAGAGCAGGGTCTTTGTACAGGTGTATGGCAAGGCTACTCGGGAGAAGGCAGCATCGTTGCTAGACAACGAAAAGCAGCCCAGACTGTCTTGGGAATCGTTCGCGGAAGGACTCGGGCTGAAGGGACGCAACCCGTCCCAGCGCTTAGCGCGGGCCTTTGCTCGCCGAGAAGCGAGATGTTGAGGCTCGAACACGGAACCGGCACCAATGCTGCTGGTGGACAGCAGGCTGAAGTTCCCGCTCTGCACCTCCCGAATGCTAGGGTAGACTGCTTGTTTATTAGGGGTACGCGTACCGTTGTTTGTCTCATCGTATTCTCCTTCAAACGCCTCCGCCTTCTTCGGCCGCGACGATAGGCTGTTGCTCCGCAACCGGGACTGCGACGCATCCAACATCGCCGCGTTCTTCTCCCCCGAGGCCGGTACGTCGTCGAGGTCGAGGAGGCCGCCGGTAAGGGACCCTACATTCGCCCCCTTCCACTCTTCGAGGTACTGGCTCGGTTGGAATATGCCCTGGCCAGGCTGGAATTTGTCGCGGGCGTTGTAGAGAATGTCCGATACGTGGTGCCGCTGCCCGCTGGCATCAGTGTGGGTTTCGTGTTCGCCAGCAGGGCCGGGATAGGGCGGGTGCGTCGCTCCTCCGGGAGGATATGTTGGAGGGTTGGTGGCCCCAGCAGACGAAGGCATGGCCCTGAACGAGACAGCGTGCTGGTCTCCATCCGTTGGCGCCGTCTGGGCCGTTCCTCGGCCCAGGATTCGGTCAGCCTTTTTCTGGCTGGGTGTCTTGGTCAGTTTCCCCGTAGACGGGTACAACATAAACTCTTCTGCAAAGTCATCATTAAGGGGGTCGGGGATTTTGCTCGGGGGAGCTCTGGCCGCTGGCTCGAATTGGCGGCGCTCGGGGCGGTTTGCGTTGGCGGGTCGGGTGTTAATGGGTGTGACGGGCCCGCCTACCACCCGCGGAGTATGCGCAACTACCTCGCCCGTGTTGTAGATTTCGTCCGTCTCCGAGATGCGATTAGGCCACATGTCGACCGGGGGGTTCTTCCTCAGCTTGTTGTTGGCACTCCTCGGTGGAGTGCGGCCATCGGGCTTGGCCGTGGGGGTCGTCTCCTTGGAGGCGGGAGACTCGAGGCCGTTCGGAAGTTTTGCGTCGGTCTTCGCGGCACGCTCGCGAAAGCTTAGGTTGCGCTGCGGGATCCCGGACGACTGGGTTGGGACGGGTATCCGTGACTCGGGGTTTGCCGCCCTCGGGGACGGTCCGCCGGGTGCGCTCTGCCTCCGCCCTTCATCAGGAGGGTTCTGCGATAGGGGCCCGTTGTTCTGCGCGTTCTGCCCCGCAGGGTGTTGCACCGGTCTTGTGGGTGTTGATGAGATGATGGGGCCATCTCCGGTCGCCCCCGAGGGGGCCAGCTCGCGCAAGCGCACCTCCTGCGGGCTGTTTTCGTCTTGCGAAATCTCCCCCTTCGCTGCTGCCCTCTCTCGGGCAGCCCTCTCAGCAGCCTCGACACGCGCCCGCTTATCCTCCTTGGAGATGCTGTCGAGTGTCAGCTCAAGCCTTTGCAGTGGCGAGCGGACGTTGGACAAGGTTTTGGGCCGGTCTGTTGCGCTGGTGGCCGACGCCCTCCGAGCGCTCCTCTGCAGCGACTGCTCGGCCGCGGACGCCCTCCGCCGGCCATTGGGCACCGGGGACATCCTGCCGAGCGTCGGATCGGTGGTGACCCTCTGGGGCCGCGGCATAGCGGATTCTTCCAACATGTTGCGGGTGCGGTCCGATACCGGATATCTCTCCTTCCGGCGGTGTTCCTCGATCTCCCTCTGGCTTCCCTGGCGACCAATTCCTTGGGGCGACGGCGGATACTTGGAGCTCGAAGGTGGAGCGCGTGGTACGTCGGGAGCGGTGGGGGGTAGCGGGACGGTCACCGCAGCATACTCGGCGTCCTGTTCCTGGTTTCGACTCCTCCGCCTGCGACGGTTCTCGACCAGCTCGGGCGGGTATTGGTCGGCGGCGTAGGGGAGAGACGGGGGTCGTGGGGTGAGTCCCTGGCCCTGGAAGCTGGAAGCGGTTGGCGACACGAAGGGACTCAGGGTCGAATCGGTCGGCGCATCGGATTTTGTAGTCTGGACGGAGATGCGGTTCGATCGCGGGTGTCCCTGTGGCGGGGCATCCAATGACTGGCGACGATCCGTCAACGGGTCCTGGTCATCAGACAAGCGGCGGGTTTTGGTTTGGCCCGCCTTAGGGGGTGGGAGCTGGCCCCAGTAGGGAGCAGACATGTCGGGCGGTTGGGTTGGAGCGAGGCGCGGGAGCTTGGATTCGAGCTCGGCGCCAGGCTGTCTCGAATGGACTTGGTGGTCCTAAGGCTCTTGTGGGGTGAGTTGACCGCTGGTCGGGGAGTCAATGCCGGTGCGCAGCTATTGCTCAAGCGTTGCCATTCGTCCACGCTCTGCGGGCAGCCATACCAACCAATATTCGCGAGACACATGCACCTTCGGGCTCGAGAAACCGTGACCAGCGCATGTCCCGGGGCTGTCGGCCAGTTATACTCAACTTTCTGCCAGGGCGGGAGGTCGGTCGGTCGGCCACAACGTGCCATGCAATCGAAGTGGCCGGGGTGGCCCTGGCGCCAAATGCTGGCTCGAAGCTGGGTCACAGCAGGGGGCCAGCCAGTGTCAGCGCCAGACTCGGGCAGGCGAGCTGGGGAATCACTGGGAGCTTGGGCGGAAAGATCTGGCTTGGCGTGGTTGGGCTGGCATTGACAAACCCTGATTGACGAATTTTGGCAGGGCAAGCAGGGGTCGCCCAAAATCAGAAGGCGGGAAGCCCACTTGGTGCCCACATCTCCAGGTGCTTGGCGAGCCTCAACAACTCACCTTGGTTCGACCGCATTGCCGAAATGCTGGTGGCTGGCTGCCGATTTGTGCGACAAGCGGGAGGGTCAGGAACGAGATGGGAGATTTGGGGTAGAGTCGTCGTCGTCGCCTATCTTGACCACTGATGATGGTTTGCGAGATGTCTGGGGGTTCCCCTCCATTCCATCAGACGCACATGGCGCCCACATGGAGACGGGACGAACCGACCCATGACAGATTAGACGACGATTACGAAGACAAGATAGGTTCGGCTTTGGATGACTCGCTCCCGCGCGCAGACTAGGAGATCCCGTGGGCTAGCTGGCAAGCGCGTATGTACATGTATGTATGTGCCTGTATGTGCCTGTCCCATTATGTACCCGCCCAATGCCGGCTCCCGCCCATTGCTTCATTTTGAGTCGCCTTCTTTGCTTGTGTGACCGTGTGTTATCCCGGATGCTCGCTTTGATTCACTTCCTACATCTTTAAATTACGAGTTCGAGGCGACAAGCCCCCCAAAAACGAGTTCAGCTTGCTCGCGAACCGCTACCATGGACCATGACTCTCATGGAGCAGGAAGTGTTTATAGGGCGCGCTACAGAAGTACTCCTAGTATAACGGTAAAATGTCGCCATTGCGGACGGCTCTCACATGGAAGTTCCGGTGACAAAGAATCGGGACCGAAACTCAACCTCGACTCGACTCTCATGAAGCAAGCCCTAGGCCCTCATTGTCAAACCATGGACAAAGCTGGGGCGTTACCGACAACACCGTGTGCCATGATCAAATCGGGCCGCCTTCGAAAAATAAATAAATCCATAATCCTCTATAACAAGAAACCGGAATTAAAAGATTTCCAAGCACCGTGCAAAGTGGTACATGCAGTGATGGGATACCCGGTGAAGACGATGTGAAGTCGTGCTATTCAGCTTGTCAAGGAGACACTCTCGAGCTGAGGCTTGGCACTCGCCCGCCATCCAGCCTGCGAGCGGAATATCCTTTGATTGGCCGACCATTCGTGGCCTCCTCTGGCCAAAAAAAAGCGAACTCGAAAGCGTAACAAAAATCAAGAAAATAGACAAAAGTAAAAGAAACTAAGAAAACAAAAAGATGTAAATAAAAACAGAGTAAAATAAATTAAATAAAAGAAGCTGAGCAAGGTAAAAAGTAGGCTTTGGGCTTCCAAATGGTTCTTTTTCGTTCGTCTAGTCGAAGGTTTCGTCGGCGCCTACACCCAGAGTTCGGCTTTTTTTGCCCATGGGGTGGTGGCTTAAACAGGCAACTTTTGGGCCCGCTTGAACCCGCCGGGCTCGCCAGGCACTGCCTGCAGATTGCGAGGCCAATTCCATTGGTGTAACGCTTGGCAACCATCTCGGGACGCTCGTGGCTGACAATGCACCTGCAAGGCCACCTCTCCATTACAACAGACAAAGGTCATCATTTTGGAAAGGGGGTTTTACTTTCGTCTGGCAGTTGAACGTGGAATCCACCGCGGAACTCGGAGAGTTTGGAAAGTCGGAAGTTTTGAAACACTTAGTGGGTTAACCTCCTTTTGCACCGGGTTTGTGCAATCGCCACGGCTCCCCCATCCTTGGCTCAATTCGAGTTGGGACCTGCATCTTCTTTGCGACACCTCTATCGCGACCCGCCTTTCACCCGGCCGAACCACTGTCGCTTCGACAGCTACAGCAGACGATTCAACCACCCAGAAATCAAATCGCCCCTACATGCACACTCTTTCGATCCGTTATCGACCCTCCTCATAACCCCCGCCGGGTTCAACGCCAGGCGCCTGCCCTCGACCTCCCAACACAATGAAGATCTGGTCAGGTGCGACGCTGCTGGGTTTCGCCGCCCTCGCAACAGCTTCACACGTTCTCCCGCGAAACTGGGAAGCAAACGACTACTATGTCCTCCATCTCGATGCGAACACGTCACCTCACGAGGTAGCCAGGAGCCTGGGGCTCTCGCACGAGGGTCCGCTCGGTGAACTCCGGGACCACCACATCTTCGCTACGAAACGGGCGGATCACGACTTCGTCAAGCGAGAGCTGGCCTTAAGACGAAGGAAGCGGTCGGTGGGCGAGAGAGACGCTCTGGATGGCGTTCTATTCTCCGAGAAGCAGGCGCTTCGACAGCCCTGGGAGAAGCGCATCATTCCCGAACAACCAGGACCCCTGCCCCGTCCCTCGAGGGCTATCGATCAGCCGGTGGAAGCGGCCGTCAAAAAACAGACCGAACTGACTCGGAAGCTGGAGATCAACGACCCTATCTTCCATAAACAGTGGCATCTCTTTAATACGATACAGGTCGGCCACGATGTCAATGTCGCCGACGTGTGGCTCCAGGGCGTTACGGGAAGCAATACCACGGTTGCCATTGTCGACGACGGCCTAGACATGTACAGCGATGACCTCAAGGACAACTACTATGCGCTGGGCTCCTACGACTTCAACGACAAGACGGACGAGCCGAAGCCCCGCTTGTCAGACGACAGGCACGGGACCCGGTGTGCCGGTGAGGTGTCGGCTGGTAGGAATAACGCCTGTGGGCTAGGTGTGGCATACGACTCCAAAATTGCCGGCCTCCGAATCCTGTCCAAATTGATCTCAGATGCGGACGAAGCCGTAGCCATGAACTACGACTTCCAGCATAACCAGATCTACTCTTGCTCATGGGGACCGCCCGACGACGGAAAAAGCATGGACGCGCCTGGGATTCTCATCCGCCGCGCCATGTTGAATGCTGTGCAGAACGGCCGCCAAGGTCTGGGCTCTATCTACGTCTTCGCTAGCGGTAACGGGGCCCAGAATGAAGACAACTGCAACTTCGACGGCTACACCAACAGCATTTACAGCATCACCGTTGGCGCCATCGACAGGAAAGGCATGCACCCGCCCTACTCTGAGAAGTGCTCCGCCGGGCTGGTCGTCACCTACTCGAGTGGCGGTGGCGACGCCATCCATACCACGGACGTGGGCCAGAATACATGCTCGAACAGTCACGGCGGCACTTCCGCGGCCGCCCCGCTTGCTGCTGGTATTTTTGCCCTCGCTCTCCAGGTGCGCCCGGATCTTTCCTGGCGGGACATGCAGTATCTCGCCATGAACACCGCGGTCCCCGTCAACCTAGACACGGGCGAGTATCAGGACACCACAATCGGCAAAAAGTTTAGCCATACCTTTGGATACGGCAAGCTTGATAGCTCTGCCATTGTGGAAGCCGCCAGGACCTGGAAGAAGGTGAAGCCGCAGGCCTGGTTCTATACTCCCTGGATCCACGTCAACAAGCCGATCCCCCAGGGCGAGGAGGGCATTTCCGTCGAATTCAAGGTGACCGAGGCCATGCTCAAGGAGGCCAACTTCCAGCGTGTTGAACACATCACTGTTACCATGAACGTCGAGCACGGACGGCGTGGTGATATCAGCGTCGACCTCATCAGCCCGAACAAGATCGTCAGCCACCTGTCTGTGACACGCAAGAACGACGAATCCACCGAAGGCTACGATGACTGGACGTTCATGAGCGTGGCTCACTGGTAAGCAACCCCCTTTCTACCACTGACCGCAATTTGTCAGCTAACATTCTCAGGGGTGAATCCGGCGTCGGCACCTGGACCATCATCGTCAGGGACACCATCGAGAACGTGCACAGCGGCAAGTTCGTCGACTGGCACATGAAGCTCTGGGGCGAGACCCGCGACGCCTCCAAAGCCAAGGTCCTCCCCATGCCCACCGAAGAAGACGACGACGACCACGCCAAAATCCCCACCACCACCGTTGGCCAGCCCACCCACTCGGCAACCGACCCACCCAACCGCCCCGTCAACCCCAAACCCACGGGCACCAAGACGGGCGAAGCCACCTCCGCCTCGCCCTCCTCCTCCTCCGCCAACAAGACCTCCACCTGGCTGCCCTCCTTCTTGCCCACCTTCGGCGTGTCCGCCGCCACCCAGGCCTGGATCTACGGCTCCCTCGTGCTGATCGTCGTCTTCTGCGCCGGGCTCGGCGTCTACTTCTACCTCGCCCGCCGCCGCCGCCTGCGCAACAACCCGCGCAACGACTACGAGTTCGAACTGCTCGACGACGAAGAGGCTGAAGGCCTCGCCGGCGGCCACGGCGAGAAGGGCGTCGCGGGCGCGGCCGGTGCTGCTGCTGCTGCTGCGGGCGGGCGCGGACGCCGCGGTGGGCGCACGCGCGGCGGCGAGTTGTATGATGCGTTTGCGGGGGAGAGTGATGAGGATGGGGACGATGACAGCGATGATTTTGGGGGCCGGGGAGGTGTCGGTGGTGGGCAGTACCGGGATCGGAGCGGGTCGGGGTCGGAGGGCAGCGTGTCGCCCATTCGGATGAGCGAGAAGCTGCCGGGGCGGCGGGATAGTGACGAGGAGGAGCCTCACCAGCATGTCATTGGGGAGAGTGATGAGGAGGATAGTGATGAGGACGAGGAGAGCGAGGGCGAGCAGGCGAGGCCGTTGCATGGTGGGAATCGGTAGTTCTTTTTTTTGGCTGGGTGTGGGGTTGTTCCGTGTCGCTAGGCATGTACCTACCCGGGCGTTTTGTTGTTGTCTGGTTAGGCATTTTCGTTGGCACCTATGTAGGTAGTAGGTATAGCGGATAGATGTGTATAAACAGTGCGCGTGCATGCTTGAAGATCCTGTGGTGGTGTCCTGATCGTGCTCGACTGAATGGTCCATCTTATTTCTCCGGGCCATTCCTGCTTGCGCTGTACAATTAAAATGCAATTGATTCCTACCAGCCGAGCAGCCCTCCCGTCCTAACCAATATTCAAAAAACCAATCTTAAACGCCACGACCCCAGGGTTTGAGGTATCGATACAAAGGCTATTTCCGCTCTCAAGCAAGCAAGCAATAACGATGCTTCCTCGCTGCACAGCCAGCCAGCCCCCAAGCTAGTTGATCAAAACCTCCGCCGCGCCCTCGCCTTGCCCCAAACCTTAGCCGTATCCTCGATCCCCTCCGGTGAAGAAGTAGAATCGTTTGTGCTATCGGTGCTATAACCAGTTTCCTTCCACGGCTCCAACCCACCGGCATCAGGAGCCCCGCCCTCGGACGTAGCCACCTAGGCAGCCACTCGACTGTCCACACTTCTCGCAACGCCCGCACCGCCCTCACCACCTGCCCCGCTCGCACCATCATCACCGTTCGCACCGCCCGCACCACCCTCACCACCCGCCCCGCTCGCACCGTCCTCATCCGCCGCCGCCCGAGCCGGCTAAGCCGGGAGCACGACGCCCTCCCTCTCCATCTCGCGGACATACCCCTCCCAGACGCCGATAACGCCGTCGTAGAAGTCGACGTGGGCGTCGACGAGACCCGAGAACTGGCGCTTAAACTCGACCTTCTTGATCCACTCAAAGTTGTCGGCCTCGCGCAGGGTCTGCTCGGCGAAGCGGTCGGCGTCGGTGCGCGCGTGCTCGACCTCCCCCGTCAGCTCTTCGATGCGCAGTTCCAGCTTGCGCTGCCGGTCGCGCCGCGCCTGCTCGTGGTCCACCCCGCGCACGTCCTCAATCTTGGAGCGGATGAAGCCGCCCGCGCCGCCGAGGGCGCCCGAGAGAGGCCCCCCCGAGTACCCGTGCCCGGAGGCGAGCGTGTCGCGGTCGGCGGTGGATCGGTTGAGGTACTCGGTGAGCTGCTCGTAGTCGACTTGCTTCTGCTCACGGGCTTTGAGGAGTTGCTTGATAGCGCCGCTGTAGGCAACCATGTCACGGAGGGAGGTGAGGTAGTCTTGGTCGGTGTGATCCTTGAGTTTTTTGAGGCCAGCGGACGTGTCCTCGATCGAGGCCGCAAAAGCATGGACGGCAGATTCAACGCCCGGTTCGAGGGTGATGAGCTTCTGGAATTGCTCGGCGAGATCCTTCAGGTCGGTTTCGAGGTCCGACTCGCGCCGGGCCACACGGGCGACAACCTTTTCGACGTTGTTGAGGTCCTCGTCGAGCTTGTCCGACCTTTCCTTGATCTTTGTGAAGCGAGGGTCGACCTTGTGCACTTTCGAGAAGGCGTTCATGAAGCTATCAGCGAACGAGTCAAAAACGCCGCTACCGTTGCTGCTCGTGGATTGACTGGCGCCGAGGCCGTCGCCGCCTGCTCCGGTAAAACCAAGGCGTCCTGCTCGGCTATGCATGGTTGCATTCCAGTCGGGGCTCTCGAGGAAGGTATGGAGTATGCTCGCGCGACGGAGGACGGGGTGTAGAGTGAGTCGAAATAGGAAGCGCTGAAGAGAGTGGGCACGCCGCGCGGTGAAGTCAGGTCCGAACCGGTCGCCTCGCACATATTCCATGCGCTCCTTGTCTGGCAATGGAGGCACCGCGCATGCCGGGTATGTGTGAGTAAGGACCTTGTAGAGAAAAACGAAGTCGGTAAATCGGCGGCGTACGGTTGTCGTTGGTCGCTGAAAGGTTGAGAACGTGGTCTACAGGGTCAGGTCAGCCAGCAGTTCCAACAACAGGTATGAAGCCAACCTACATTGGTGGTAATCAAATAAGATACATAAGTATCCTTGGTTCCGTCGTTCTCCTTGTGTGGCTCCGCGACGGTACAATCGAGAATCTCGCCCGCGGAGTGACCATAGTCGGCATCCCTCCCATCGTCTGTCCTAGTATCATCTGATTGATGACCAGAGAAACCGGGACTGCCGACAGGGTTGTGAGATGCAGACGTGCTCTGCCCTACGCGGTCGGCATTTTGCTCGCTGTGCCAGGATATATTGGAAAAGTTGTCTTCGCCAACGGGCATCTTGTTTGTCGGCTTACGAGGCTTGACGGAACTGTGCTCGTGCGCGGGTGTTGGTGGAATCGGTCTTTAAAGGTCGTTCGGGTTTATCTTGCCAAAAAGAAGCAGCTATAAGCTAAGGCGATTAGGACTAAACGGATGTTCTGGAAACTAAGCTGACATTCAATCAGTGTTAGGTAGGTCAGGAAGGTTTGAAGGTAGGTTGGTGGTTTATGTTGCGGGAGTGCGAGGCAAGGTGCTTGGCGATTGACGTATGATGGTGGGGGAGGAGCTCGACTGTTAACGAGCGGGAGCTTGCCGTTTTGGGCTCAAACATCTGCCCGTGCTTGGCATTTCTCACCTGGTCCTCCCCTGGGCAGTGCCCGAAAAAGCACCTGCCTTATGTACCTACTGTACAGTTCTCACCTTGTTTGACATTTACAAGGTGTTGATTCCGGTCACTCAAATCCCAGAGACACCAAGACAGGTACTTGTGACAGAGTTGATGCTATCCACGGTATCTAGATGAGATGAGGTCTATATCCCCGACCGCTCATAACATAAGAGAGAATTCCACCGAAACCCAGACCCCAACTCCAGCCTGATTTCGCAGCTTGGCCGCTGTGTCTATATACCTACAGAATCCTCACCAGTGCCATGCGGGTTATTCGATCATGGCAGACAAAGGAGAAACAGGCACCGTAAGGAGTGACCCTAGGGTAAAAATAGCAATGTTACATGGCAAACCCGTTCCCAGCTTACTTCTCGCTGGACTTGGGCGGCGCCGCCTCGCGCTTCTCCTGCTCCTGTTCTAACCTCGCAGCAGCGAGCATATCCTTCTCGGCATCCACCGCCTCGCCGACCTGTGCCTTCTCGATGGTGGCGTCGGCCGTGGCGTGTGCCTGGCGTTCCTCCTTCTCGTCGATATCCTCGGTATCCCGGGGCGTGGCAAAGCCGGTTGCCTGGTTCTCCTGGTCCTGCTCGAGCTCTTCGTCGATGAGCTCCTGCTGCTCCTTGATCACCTCGAGGCGCTGCTTGTTGGTGGCGGCGCCCTCAGCGTTGTGCACCTCGAGCTCGATCTCGTGGAAGAGCTCCTCAGGGATCGACGAGAGCACACCGGTCAACGCTTGGATCTGGCTCGACACGCCCTCCTGGGATGAGGTCTGGCCGTACATGTACGCGCTGCTGAGAACCAGTAGGGTGGAGGGCACACCCTCACGGAGCCTCAGGTCGAGCCAAGTCTGCAGATCCTCACGGAGGCTGGAGGGCGACACGCCGTAGCTCTTGATGCCGCGGCTAGCGCAAGCGACCTGAAGCTCAGCAACTGAAAGGCTGTCCACGCCCTCGTAGCTAATAGCACGGTCGTCCCGCTTGATTTGACGCATGCGGTGGCGGATCTGGTACCGAAGCATCATGTCGGTACCGAATGTGTTGAGGTTCAAATACCGGCACATGGACACGAGCTGCGGCCGCGAGAGGTTGTCGAGGGTGAGATCATCCTTGAAGACCTTGCACACCTTGATGACGTCCTCGGCCGTCGGCGTCTCTCCGGTGGCACGGAGCTTCCGGAAGAAGTTGGTAAACTCCTCCTTTTGTGCCGTCGCCTGCGTCAGGGGGAGCCCCGTCTCCTTCAGCGTCTGGCGGAGGAAGTCGCTAACCTCCTGGCGAGTGGCCCGCAGTGTCGACGCCTTCTTGTCCCTAGACTTTTGGCCTTCGTAGGTGCTGGGCAACATGTTGGGGAACAGCTTGAGAGCGACCGGGAGCAGCAATTCGGCAAAGGGAACGATGACGAAGACGGAGAAAGGGACTAGCCGGCCGAGATCCTGAACGGTACGCTGGAGTTGTCGGTTCTCTCTCCGGGTAAGCTCGTACCCGGCGGCCATCTTGAGCGCGAGTCTCGAGCTGATCTTGACTTCGGCCGCCAGCAGCTTGGTACCGTCCCAGTAATGCTGGGCCTCCTTCTTGATCTTTTGCCCAATCGTCAGCTTCTTCTCTTCCTTCTTACCCTCTCCCTTCTCCTCCACGGCAGCCTCCTTCTGGGCGGTGAGTTGTGTGAGCGAGGCATCGGAACCGGCTTGCGCTCCATTCGCTTCCTTGACCGCCTCCTTCACCCCGGCCTCCGCCTTTGGCTTCTCGGCGGCCTTGACTGCGGGCTTAGTGCTAGCGGGTTCCCTAGGAAGGGGTTTCTTAGCCTCCTCCGAATTGAAGCCCGGGGGCGGTCCTCCGGGGGGGCCATGGGTAGTTGTGCCGGATGTTGTGAGGGTTCGGACCGGAATTAACAAAGCAGAGGCCGGGCCCAAGTTGTGCGCATTACGGGCGAGATGGATTGACGAAGCAAGAAGCGCAGATCTGGGTAGAGTACGGCCTGCGCGACCGACGTTAGCAATGCGTGCGCATTCAAAATGGCAAATGGCTTCAAAACGCAGGGGACCCACCAGTGCTCAGGAAGGGGTTGACGACCAGCGCCCGCCGCGCAACTCTTGTCGAGGCGCTCATTACGGTTATCCGGGAATGAGAGAAGGTGCGAGTATCGTAGTCGGTGAGGTAGTGCTGTCACTTCTCGTTTGGAACAAAAAGGTTTTGTTGGGGATGGAGATCAAGTGAACTGCGCCGATGCGTTATAGGGATGCGTTATGGAAATGGCGTGTTTGCTGTGATTAAAAGTCAAACGCTGATAACGGCGGTAAACGTCGGCCGGGAATCTCGGAAACGGGAGAACGTTGATTGCGTGGCAACAAAAGGTAAAGGTGGGTGTCTGAGCAGCGTAGAGAGTCGGGGAGAGTTGAAAGTGAAACCGTACAGGAGGAATGGGATCCAGAGACGAAAGACAGGGATTTAATGAATCAAGATGAAGTTGGCGAGTTGGTCGGCGCCGCTGTCAAAAGGGGCGCAGTGACATCAAAATCCACGTTTCCCTGCGTTTCGCTGCAATTCATGGCTCCATTCCGCCCCGCGGTCGCCCTGACCGCCAGCTGGCGAGTCAGCCAGGCACACGAGACACAAATCACGTGATCATACATGAACGATTTCCACAACCACTTTCCATCCATCGACGAATGCAGTCGGGCTCGGGTCGGGTTCTGTCGGGCTGGGCTCTAAGCAGCAGTTACATGTGAATCCTCGATGTACCGTCACCCGCAACCGATGGTTGTTCGCCACGTTCTCGACTGGTCGACCGATGTCCAGACGATTGCATGCCACGGACGCGTTCGTTGTCCCTTGGTGTTGAGGGGTCATCCCAGCCATGGACATCCAGCGCAGCAAATTGTTCGGAACAAGCTTTCAAGAAGCCGGTTTCAGGAACGGAAATATGAGGTTCGGCCCCAGCGGCAGTTTCGGGCGATAACGATAAGACTTGCCTAAATGCTCAGGCAGCCATGTAAGCTGGAAACGACACATTCCGGCGTCGGAAGGCCGAGCCCGAAAAATGGCCTTGATTTGGGGGCGACATCGGTGTTCCTGAACTCTGGGCTCAACAAAATGGTCAGAAATTTGGTGAGGAGGCTGGCCCTGCCAATCCTTGCCCAAGGTGAGCGAACTTGTGCATCACCGTGCCAAGAAACCGAAGTTAAAGTTTCCCGCAGCACCCTCTTTCCGCTGCCAGCAGGTGCCTGCCGTATGAAGTGAACCCACGCCATCTTCTGTCCCGTAAACCATCATCTCAAACTTGACACTTGACATTGCCAAGCATGGAGTTTTCGTAGCCCTTCGGTCCTCGGTTGCGTCTCGATTGCGTGCCGATCGGTTGTTCCCCGCACTCCGATCGCTGTGATAGCTCCTAGTTGCTCGTGTCAGTTTTAGGCTCGCTTCAGTTAACTATATCGGCCAACCTTTGGCCGCGTCGCCCCGCCTTGTTGTCCAAATCCTATTCCACAACCACCCACAGTCGTCCACGCAACGCGATCTTTCAGTCGCCAAACTATGCGCTTCCGAAAAGCCGCCCGCGTTATTCTTGTAGGCGCCCCAGGCGTTGGAAAAGGGACGCAGTCAGAGCGACTGCTGCAGAGGTTTCCACAGCTATCCTCAATCAGCTCCGGAGACCTCCTGCGGCACAATGTCAAGCAACGCACCCCCCTTGGTGCGTGCATCCACCCGTCAATACTATCCCAAGTTTGCCAAACTAACGAGTATGGGAAATAGGCATTAAAGTGGAGAGCACGATGAAGGCGGGGGGCCTGGTGTCGGATGACCTTATCCTCCGACTCATCAGCAACGAACTCAACCAGCGTGGATGGCTCTACTCGGGCCACCCCTCCGGCAACATAATGACGCTTTCCTCCTCTTCTATCGACACTGCCGAGCCCAGCCAGTCATTCCAGAACGATGCCGAGATGGCCGCCTTCCTCTCCTCCCCCGCACACGCCCGTGGTTACGGCCAGGCTCGTATCAACGAGGACCCGTCCGCCTCGTTCCTCCTCGACGGCTTCCCGCGCACAGCGCCGCAGGCCGACCGTCTTGACGAGATCGTGCCCATCAACCTAGCCGTATCGATCAAGACGCCACTCGAGGTCATCATGGAGCGGATAAACGGGCGATGGGTGCACGAGCCGTCGGGCCGGGTGTACAACACGTCGTTCAACGCACCCAAGGTTCCCGGCCGCGACGACGTCACGGGCGAGCCGCTAGAGCGCCGGTCCGACGACAGTGAGGAGGTGTACCGCGCCCGGTGGAAGAAGTTCCAGGAGACCAGCGAGCCGCTGCTGGAGCACTACGCCCGCAAGGGCGTGCTATGGGAGGTAAATGGTATGAGCAGCGACGAGATCACGCCGAAGCTCCTCCGCGAATTTGAGCGGCGGTTTGTGTGATGGGGCTCACGCCTCGGCGTACTCGGAGCGTTGCATACAGCTTGGGCGGCGTGTTGTACTACCCTCAACGGTGTATAGATGGTGGCGGAATGTTGCTTAGGCGGGCAGGCGCATGGCGTTTATGGGACTGAGTCATCTCGTCCCCGGGTTTTGGTTACATCTGGGCCCTTCGTGGTGTCAGGAGATGTATTCCCATTTGGATTTCCCTCGACAGAGAGATAGTAATCATGATATACCATATCAGCGAAGTCTGCATTGTCGCCTCGACTCTCATTTTGACTCGATACCTTGCCAATGGCGAGAAGTTGTGTGCTTGACGACCTGTCCCAAGTCAGTCCACTAGCTCAACTTTTAGCAACTTGAAGAAAGCAACTAGTTCAACCACCGAATATACATAAATAATACGTTATCTCAACTTTCCCAGGGGCATTTCCCGCATCTCCCCTGGATATTGCAGATCAGACCCTGTTGTGCCTGCCCCTTCGTTGCATCCCTCAAGGACAACGATGCAAGCCACCCCGCAGCTGCACATGCCCACCTCCCCGCATGGTGGGGAACCCATGCACCACCACGCTCTGGCCCAAGCCACCCATTACACTAGAAACACCGCCTGCAGCACCGTTCCAAGCCCTGATTCCTTCCTTGGCGCAACCCCCAGTCCGGGTCTGGGTTGCTCGCATGATCTTCAACCGTCACGGGCGTGCAAATAAATGTCTTGAACTTTTCTTTTGTGGGTGACCTGGCCTCGTGTTCCTTCTCACCATTGTCCTTCCCATTTTGGTCGCTCTCTTTCAGCATCTGTCGAGTTTCAAAGGGGCGTTTCACCCTAACTCGGAACACCCACGAATCTTCATTCTTCTACCCTGTCAATCCGTCACCGTCACAACCAACACCCCCCAACAAGTTGGAAACTGTGTATTTTAAGAGACACAACCAACATGATAGCAGAATGATTGGGCCGTGGTCTGATCAACCTGCAGCTGCTCTGGTAGCCGCTACTTGTTGAATCCCCGGTAAAGTTTGCTTCGGCTGTTACTGAGTTACTTTGCACGACTTTCGTTTCGGTCTCGAGGTCCTTCGGAGACAAGGCCGTGTCACAAGCAAGCCTACATCGTCTTCAATCTCCAACCGCCGCCAGACCTTAGATTTATATACCACACCCAATCCTAAATTTGGGGGTTAAAACCGGTTTACTATATCGAAGAGTACGACCTTCTCGCTCCTTCTTTTCCCCAAACCACATATGCTAACAGACTACCTTCACCTAGACAAAGAAGATATTTCCTCAACCTCTCTTGTTTACCGAACGGGCACTCCATCTGTTTATTGGCCTAGTTAAGATGCATATTAACTGGGCCGTGGTCGTAGGTACGGCCACGGCCGTCTGCGCTTCCTCTCCCTGGTCGTCACTCCCGTTGGAGCTCAAAGAGAGAAACGGCAGCGATGCGGGACGCCGCGCCCTTCCAGACCTCGACCTATTTCAGGACATGTTCATGGCACTGAGCGACATGCAGGATGCCTACTTTCAGCGCTGGCTCGGCACCTGGCCCCATGGAATCGATTGGACTCGTGCTGTCATGAGCACCCACGTTGCTGCTACGCTCCGGACCATCTCTGACGAACTTGAACTCGGTCGGTCCAACCAAGGCATGGAGTGTGCCAGCAGAAAGCACGAGGTCATTGCCGGGTATTTTGCAGATGTGATCGCCTACTATTTTGCCGAGGACGCCTTTGCTATCCGCAATCAGGCCTATGACGACATGCTTTGGGTCGTGCTAGGCTGGCTCGAGTCTATCCAGTTCATTGATGAACACAGCAGGTTTCTCTCCAGTAAGGCCGCTGCGGGGCTGGGAACCAAGCCCGGGGCTGAGACATGGTATGGAAGTCGCTGGATACCCGCTTTCGCTCATCGCGCGAGGATATTCTGGGAGCTCGCCGCCAGGGGCTGGGACACGAAGCTCTGTGGAGGTGGTATGCTCTGGAACCCGCGTCTGATGCCATACAAAAACGCCATCACCAACCAACTGTTCATCTCTGCTTCCATTAACATGTATCTCCATTTCCCCGGCGACCCCAACCCCTCCCCTTTTAGCAGCGACACCGATCCCATACTCACCGCCAACCACCACGCAGCCGAGTGGCCTCCCCACGATCCCACCTTCGGCAAGGCCGCCCAGGAGGCCCACCGTTGGCTCAGATCATCCAACATGACCAACCGCCAAGGTCTCTACGCCGACGGCTTCCACGTCTCCGGCCACAGCTCCGGCAGCAACAACACGCGCTGCGACGAGCGCGACGAGATGGTCTACACCTACAACCAAGGCGTGCTCCTGTCGGGCCTCATAGGCCTCTACCAAGCCACCGGCGGCGGGCTGGAGCGCGAGCACTACCTGCGCGAGGGCCACACGCTGATCCAGAACCTGATCCGCGCCACGGGGTACGATCTCGCACGCAACCGCCCCATCGACGACATCGGCGACCCCCGCCGCCCCATCCCACCCTGGCGCGGCCTCGGTCGCTTCGGCGTCCTGGAAGAGGCCTGCGACGCCCCCGGCTCCTGCTCCCAGGACGCCCAGACCTTCAAGGGCATCTGGATGCACCACTTTGCCGCCTTTTGCGCCCCTGCCGCCCTGCGCTTCCACGCCGCACCCGGCATGGCCGGCTGGGCTGCAGCGGGAACCGAGGCTGAGATGGAGGCTATCCGCGCCAGACACGGAGCCCATTGCAGGCGGTATGTGCCCTGGCTGCGGCACAATGCGCGCGCAGCCCTGGGTACGCGTGACGGGAGGGGGCTGTTTGGCATGTGGTGGACTGCAGGACTGCTGAGGCTGGCCGGCGGTGAGGCAGCTTTGGAGAAGGCTCTGAAGGCGGCCGGGGATGCGCTGCCCCCGCCACTGGGGGAGGGGGATGGGCAGGTAGTGGATTATCGGAACTTGGGCGTGCCGCTGAATGCGGTGTGGATGCGTGAGGTTGATCTCCCGCTCCCGGAGCCGAGTTCGGGTGAGGAGGGGCAGAAACCCCTGAATGCGGGTGGTCTGGGTGAGGAGAATAAGACGAAGCCTGTGGTGGGGAGGAGAGGGGTGGATTCGGACAAGGCGGGCGTTTGGGACCCCAATCATCGCGGGCGAGGAAGGACGGTGGAAACACAGGGCGGCGGCCTGGCGGTTCTCAGGGCGTTATGGGTGGTTTCTGGTCATGAGCTATGATGGCGTCTGTGGGAGGTTTTTGTGGTGTGCATACACGGCAGGGAATGGCTAACGAATAGACGCGGTGGTCACTTGGGAGTACAGATTAGAAAGGTTATGCTTTTGGTTAGTATTATATACTTCATTACTACAACTCTTGGTTGGGATTCAGTCCCACGTTTGTTGTCAGGAGAAAGATGGGGGGGGTTGGATTTGAGATCTGTGACCCGGCCGGTTGCTACCTGAACCTCCATTGTAAACCACTTGGGACATTCCCCTCTTTTACGTCTTATGAGAAGACCTATAGGTGGATTACTGTCATCCCATAGTTCTAAACGTCCTCTCCGTAAGGCTTCGGGGGCTTCTTTCCTCAGGGTTAGGGTGATCCCTGGAACCCAGTTTTATTTCAGCCCACTGCAACAACACCCCGCCGGACCTTGCGACCAGCATTATCGCCAGCCTAACAATCCACTGGCTGACAACCTAAACTTTACAAAACTTAACGCTTTCTCACGCTCTTCCACCTCGGTTCCGAAACCATACAACCACCACCTCCTCCAACCGCTACCTCAAACAAACATAACCCACCCCCATCCAACATGGCCTCTGAAGAAATGGAGCTCGACGAGCCCGTCCAGCAAGGACCCGACGACGCCCCCTCCAACAATGGCAACAGCTCCGCCAAGCTAGCCGCCATGCAGACGCTCACCAAAGCCACCGCCGTGCGCTCCATCGAGGGCTGGATTGTCATGGTGACCAACGTACACGAGGAGGCCGACGAGGAGGCCATCCACGACAAGTTCGGCGAGTTTGGCGAGATCCGCAACGTGCACCTGAACCTCGACCGGCGGACGGGCTACGTCAAGGTACGACAAACACCACACCACTCCCCTCCTTCCCCCTACCTCCCCCCACGACATCCATCACTGCCCCACTAACACACCACAAACCAGGGCTACGCACTAATCGAGTACACGACGCTCGAGGAAGCGCGCGCCGCCATCGACGGCGCCAACGACACCGAGCTCCTCGACCAGAACGTGCAGGTGGACTTTGCCTTTGTGCGCCCGCCGCCGGGAAAGCAGGCTAACAACGGGCGGCTCGGCGGCGGGTCAGGCGGCGGGGGTGGCGGTGGCGGACAGCGCGGGTCGAATCGCGGGGCGCGTAGCGGGAGGAGTCGCAGCCGTAGTCCCGGGGCGGGGAAGGATGATTGAGGGTTTGGTCGTTAGATGGGGTGGCTACATTCACTTCACCTGACCATATCTTGTTTGTGATGGGATCGTTGCTGGCCGCGCTGGGTTGGGCTAGACCCTGGGGATGAGGGCGCAAGAAAAGGCCATGCGGCGTGGGGGATTAGCCGATGTGTCTGTCATATGGGGAGATTAAGGCACGTCGGCATCTTGCCATGGCAGTTTAATAGTAAGTCGTTATTGTTGGCTTGCTTGTGCCATCAGCTAACAGCTTGAACAGAATGAGGTATACTGCGTGTTGTATACTAGCCGAAGATCTATTCCAGGAACCATCCCAGGCTCTACCATCATCCGGCTGATATAGTTATACTCAACAGTGAAAAAAGGTTGACAGGACAAAAAACAAAAAACATTCAGCATGCGCGTTTCAGTTGCCACGATGACCCAATCCCCCGACAGACGAAAGTTGCCTACAATTCATGATCAAAATATTCTCATGTCGAGCCCCAAGCCAGGATCTTGCTGGCTAGCTTCTCCCACTCCCAACTTCCCGGCCCGGCCGAAAACGAGCCAACTTCCTATTATGCCCCTTCCTCACCTCGACCAGACAGATAGGAAAGCGATAGTATCAAGTAACCGTATATAAGAAGGCCGACAACGATAATAGTACAGGCTGGATATGCTGTACAGAAAACGCCATGCTAAACAAACAGGGCCATGCTTGTGATCCCCCAACACACCAAACATCATGGAAAAAGCTGTAGATGGCGCTGGGAGTTTGCTTTGCAACATGGTATAGAATACCTGGGGTATACGGGTAAGCCATCAAGAAAAAAACAAAGGAAGGCGTCGTAGAGCGGCTGTTCCCCTAAGACACCAAGTGACACGTACTCCTAATGCCTTCGTACATCAACCAAATGCCATCGAGAACACAACCGCAGATAGCTAACAGAGCTGGATGGACCGGCCGGCAGTCCAGACAAAATACGCAGAGATCATGCCCACGAAACGAAGCAACCCACGAAAGCAACCCTCGAAAATACAAGTCATCTAAGTGCTCACCCAGGAATACCGCATCCATCCATCCCTGGCATCCGTTCAATACGCAACGCTCTTGTCTGCACGCAAACTCGCACAAAAATACGCAGGAACAGGTATAAAAGTCAATGAAGTTCAATAAGTTTACCATTGCTTTGCTGATTGATATATGTGTCCGGCCACCCCGACGTGACACTGACCAAACATTGACCAAAACACCCAACCGACACCGACACCGACACCGACACCAACACCGACCGCCCGACCGCCATTGTATTACAAGAGCCATATATTGCGATATGATAACAAAAAAACAAGGTTGTGTGTGTGAGAGAGAGAGGGAAACAACAGAGCAGGTATCATCTTGTTCTCAATTTCAAAGGCCAACGCGACGAAAAGGAGACCAGGGAGTTGCGATTTCAGTTTTGCAATGCAATCGTTGTGTGCAGTGCGGTCCAGTCCTCCGCCAACATGATTCGGATTCCTCGTCAACCTCTTCTCGGCGCCACTCGAGGGTCTCAACCCCACCCGTTCGTTCCAACCACAACGTCTAGCGCGGGCTGCGGGAAAAGGGCAGGTATATGCAGGGTACGTGACGTTTTGGGGTCGCCCTTAGTTCAACCGGCCTCGCCACCCCTGGCCTTCCCTCTCCTCCGGAAGAAGTCCATAACTTTCCTCGCTGGACCGCTGCTGCCGGAGTGGTCGTGGCCGCGCGAGTAGGAGTCGGTGTCCCATGCATCGACGAATCGCTTGTTCTTTTGCAGGACGCCGCGGCCGGCTTTACCGCCGCCAGGAACCCTACGCCCGTCGAAGCCCCCGTCTAGGTGAGAAAGCTGCGGGAGCTGCGGCGCCGATCCGGCAGGTCGTCGCATGTTGTCCACCGACCCATCCGAGCCGCCGCTTAAGAGCGGGGCCGGCACATAACCTTGGCTGGCAGACGGATGGCTGTACCCGTTGGCGGGATATTGTTCTTGACGCCCATATGGGTCGATCGAGGTGCGGGATTCGTCGTGAAGCTGTGCGTACATGCCATCGAGGGTGGACGCATCCACATGTTGTTCGTGAGCCAAGTCCTGGTCTGTGTACCGACCGTACTGATCAGCAGTCGGGGGTTCCTGGATAGGTAGATCCTGTTGTGAATCGAGCTGCGGGTCATCCTTGCCAATCCCGATCGCCTTGAGCGAGAAAGATGCCGGGATGAATGAGAAGCGCCTCGCGTGCTTCTCCTGGGATTTCTGCGAGCTGTTGATGCTGCCCGACGTCTTCTTGCCAAGGCCAATGGAAAATGACCTGCGGGAGCGCTTCGAATCCATCGACTGCCGGGTTTCATCGCCTCCCGAGAGGGAATTGTTCATGCTGACGGGCGGATATTTCCTTCCCTTCTCCCCGGTTGGTTGCTGCTGCTCTGCCCGTTTGCGGTTCTTACCACCAAACAGCGACCCGCTGCGACCAAAGAGCTTGCCGCCAATCTCGCCCATTGTGCTGGATCGCTTGTGGCCCTTGGCCTCCCCGCCTGGAGCGCCGCTAGGGCTAGCTTCGGCTGTCTCGGGGCCAAGGCCAGAGAGTCTGGCAAATTTCGGAGGTAGAGTGGTGCTGGGCCGCCCATACTCTTGAGATTGGGGTTGTGATGTTGAAGAGGGAATTCCGTAGCTGCTGCCGCTCCGTGGTGGTTGTTGGATCCTCCCGTGGGCGTTCGTATCCGCAACCTCAGGAGGGACCGGCTGACTGTACGAGGGTTTCGCGCCAGCTCCGGGGCCCTTGGAACCAGTCGACTGCATGGAACCGCCGGTTGCGGGCCTGGCGGAAGAGGAACTTGGGACCGTCGACATGTAAGGTGCCTCGCGCCCACCGCGGACGGCTGCGGCTGATGAGTTCGGGTTGCGGTGAGTGCTTGGTGGCCTCCTCGACGCGACCGGCGGTTTGCCGTACGTGTCTGCACCAGCTTGGGGATTCTGAGCTACCGGTTTCTCCTTGGGCGATGATGTCGTGCCAACATCGGCAGCCTCCACAGCTCCTTGGCTCCCGGGATGAGCACGCGTACGACCACCGGACGATTGAGTGCCTGACGATTCGCCACGTTGTGTGGTCGTATTTGGCGCGACATATTCCACCTGCACCGTACGACGTTTGCTGTCCCTCTGCTGCTTGGCTTGCGCGGCAGCCTCGACGTCGGCATCGATAGTGCCCTGCTTGCTCACCAAACCGCCAATTGTGGGCGAAACGGCCGTCTTCTTTGATGATTCCCGCACTGACGAGCTGCGCCCGAGGGCCGGATTCTCCTCGTCTTCTGGGGGCACCGTCGTGTTTTGGATATCCTTGGGGCTCGTGGTACTCGAGGTGATGAACTCGACGACATGGGCATACTCGCTGAGCCAGCTGTGCCGTGCCACCTCAAACAAGTCCGCTCTTTTGCGCGGGTTCGGAACGAGAATCCTCCGTAATAGGTCGCGCGCGTGAGGAGTGACGTACTCGGGGAAAGTTAGCGGGGTGTTGACGATGTATTTGTAGAGAAGGTTGATATTGTCGCCTTCGGGGTTCGCCGGATCGTCATCAAATGGAAGATATCCAGCAAGCATCGCATACTAAACAGAAACGTCGAGGTTAGCAGGGGTTGTGTTTGCACTCCACTAGCTCAGCCACTTACCAGGATAACACCGCAACTCCAGACATCCACCTTTCTTCCAGTGTATAGCGAGTCGCTAACTACGAGCTCTGGCGCTGCGTAGCAAGGGCTGCCGCAGCTCGTTTGCATCAAGTCGCCCTTTCGTGAGCCGTTCGGCTTGACCTTGTCCAGTCCTACGCGCTTGACGAATTCGCGATCCGTCAAGTTCAGCTCTTCCTCCTCACTCAGCTCCTCGTGCGGGTCAAACGTGTTAGCGAACCCAAAGTCTGTGATGATGATGTTGCGGTTACGGTCGAGCAGAAGGTTCTCGAGCTTCAAGTCGCGGTGCACTATCCCCTTCTTGTGCAGGTAGCCCACCCCGGACACAAGCTGGGCAAATAACCGCCGTGCGGCGTTGTCTTTCAGGTATCGGTGGTTCAGGATGTAGTCGAACAGCTCACCCCCGGAGGCGTATTCCAGCACGATTCCGTAGTGCCTGTCTGATTCTTCCATCTTATGGAGCCGGACAATATTGGGGTGTGTTAACTGCTTCAAGATGGCCACCTCGCGCATGATCTTGGCCATACGTGAGGGGTTTCCGCCCAGCTGGTCCTTTTTGATGAGTTTGATGGCGACCTGATGGCATCGTTAGCGGGGCAAGCAGATTGGGCAACTCAGGGGGACAACGTACCTGCACACCACCTTCTTGCCTCCAGCCAAGTTTGACTTTCCCGAATTCTCCCTCGCCAATTGTATTTCCTAGTATGAACTCGCCAAACTTGGTCTGTTTTTCGCGTCTCGTGTGATCGTGCCGACTTCTCCCGCCACGCCTCGTCTCATCCGCGGGGTCGGCCATGGCAACCACGGGGGGCGCCGCCGCGTCATCGTCCTGCAGGCCCGCGTCCTGGTGCGGTTGGGCCAGGGCAAGGCGCTCCTTCTCCCTTTCGATATCAACTTCGGGCTGAGAAATCAAGATGCTGTTCAAAATCTCGCTCGCCTCTCTCGACGGCCCGTTAGTCGAATGCGCGTTCGGAGGCGGTGAGCGGACAGGGGCTGTCGTTGAGGGGTTCCCACGAGCATCGCGGGCCCCATTTGCCCCGTATTGATCCTGTGAAGATTGGGTGGTGCGTCGATTGCGGGAGCTCTGCTCCGACGGATCTATCCTGCCATTCGCGTCGCGGCTGGAATCGGCATGGGTTCGGCGGGACGAGTCAGCGGAGCGCTCGCTAGGTTGGGTCCGCCGAGAACTCGATGTCCGCGGAGGGACGGCGGTCGGCATGTTACGCCTTCGGTCCGCGAACTGTAGTTCCGAAGGATCTGTTGCTGAAATCACTGGCATTGTCGCCGGCGAGGCGACGGCGGCGCGGGAGCTCATTGGAGCGTTGGGGTCGGGGACCGCGTCGTCGGTAGTGCTGGGCCTGTAAGGAGGGCGCCCGGAAGACGATGCTAGTGATGCTCCCGAGGGTTCCTGATTTGCATGATAGCCGGGATCTTCCCGTGTCGGAGATGGATGGGCCGACGGGTATTGTCGACCAAACTGCAATGGAGAAGCCGATGTTGGATGATGAGGCACTATGTGAAAAGCACTGGACATTCTCTGTCCCCGCAGACGCGCAGACAGAGGCAAGCAAAGTGCGTGCAGCACCGGCAAATGTTTTTGCCTGGTTTTGGTGTCGGTGCCAAATGAGCCGGATTAGTTGAGGGCGTCGAGCAAGACCTCTGTTAGCGAAACCAGGAAACTGTGGTCAGTCGAGGACAGAAAAGCGCCGACTTTTGCGGCGGTGCAGCGCCCTCGAAGTTCCCGGGTTGCGAGGTGCTAAACTCGAGAAATCGATTGGCGGTTGGTGCTATCAATGGGCCAATTCGATTGGCATTTTGTGCTGCGATTCGGTGTCGGGAGTGCCGCGTGCTGATTGATTACCTGCCGCCGGGGGTATACACTCGCAGCTGCGACGGTGATGTTGGGGTCGCGACGAGCAACTGCGAAGCCTGAGTCGTGGGCCTTGTTTACTCGCGCCGTACCCGCAGAACAATGGCGTCCTGAAAAGTTCGGGGGTGGGCGGACTCGGTATACGGCAGAAACTAAAGGTCGGAGGATAGCCCTGCGCTCCGTGCGGATCGCTCTCCCGTCGCGCGACGGTGGAGAGGGGGAGGGGGGGGGGGAAGACGGCGGTGAGGTGGGAAGGGAGGTTTGAGGAGCTAGGAGCGGAGAGCCAATGGGTTTGTTGTCGATGTGGGTGATGTTTGGCGCTCCTGCCCGCGCTGCCCGTTTCTCGGCTGGGGTTCCTTCCCCCAGTTCCTCTCGGCCAAGGCGTTGGGCAACATGTGCTCTGCCGCATACAGTGGGAATTTTTGGCTCAAGATGTTACAGGCCGCGCCGTTAGCGCCATGAAGAGAAATACATTGACTGCCCCCAATTTCCGCTGGGCTGACGCGTACCAGCCCGGTCAGTTTCTACCTCAAAACCCTTTAATTCCCCAGCTCCAAGCCCACCCTTCAGCGGCTGCCGTCGCCGGATTTCGAGAGCACACCCTTCAGTCCAGTCCATCTCTACACACGCGGCTGTCAAGAATGGTGGTGGTCGATATTATGAACGACTGATGAGTCACGCTAAATCTGAAGTCGGGAGAACGTCGCGTTTCGACCGTCATTCATCCCAACATCTTGCTCCCAGACGCATGAAAACCGGAAATAACTAGTTATCTTGCTCCTACATATGTATCAGCATCCCTCTCCCCAAGCTCTAGGTAGCGGTCAACCCGTCCGCAGGTATCCTGACATCACATACCCATACCCTCGGGCTGACGAGTTCGTATCACTCGAGACGATGAATTGCAATCACAAAAAAACTACATCCCGCTAACTAAACATCGCTGCCTCGCTCAGCCAGTTTTCATTCACAAATCCCGCTCGTTCAGTCTGATGTTTCGAGGCATCTGCGGGCATGATTGGATCCTCGAGGACTGTTTTGCAGATCCTCGTCGCAGTGCCAAGCGATCCGTCCATCCAGCACACTGTGTGTCTTGGCCCCTAACAGCTAGCGCCTCCGTACCTGAGCCAAGCGGGATTGAGACATGGTTCAGGGGTATCCGTTTGCAATGCGGTGGACCTTTTCCCATCAGCAAGCAAAAAGAACCCCTCCAGGACACCGACAAAGGGATATCAAAAACGGTTTCGGCAAAGGGGCGGTCGAGTTGTACATGGTGATACGATGCACAGAATAAAGAGGTCTGTTTTGAGTTGTGCTAACTACGTCCGTGGCGTTGGCATAATCTCTTCCTTTCGGGAACCATCCGAGAGAGCAGGGACCGATAAAAGGGTCACCGCAACCGAGGGATTCACAATCCAACTGAGCATAACACGAGGTCGAATGGAAGAAGACAAGGTAATCGGCACATGGCGCACAGCAATAAACCCTTCCCCATCCCATAAGTATCACATCCAGCCATCCCAGGCTAATATAAACCGCACGGCGGCACGCATTGATGTCGGAGATGAGGCGCATATCGAAACGCAGGGATCCAACGAGCTGACGGCATCCCCACGGGCCGCCCAAACGGCAACGCCGTGGACGACTCGCGCAGTCCCAAAACAGGGCATCCCATCGGTGTCCATCGTTCCCTTTCGGAATTGCGGCTGATCTCGCGGTGGAGTCCCTTGCCTGAACGAGCCAGAGTCACGTCCCAACCCTGGACTTCCAGAAAGCGTGGCATCATCCCTCCTCCGGCCCCCCCCCCCTGCCCTGCCCATCGCACATCGCAGCAGCAGCGCTTCAGGATCGGGAGCCCAGAAACTGGGCTGCCTGAAAAGCGCCGCCAGGGGCAAAAGAAGGCCCCCTTGCAGCCACTTCTTGCGCCCGCGGCTGCAGGAACGGCAAGATGAGGTAAGATCGGAGATTGAAAAAGCACAGATCGAACTGGCAGGAGATCGAGCACTTAGTCCAATATTCGGATGCACATTCCCGACGTTAGAGGAGGAGGCGTCCCGCACGCGCCCGTGGATCTGGTCAATATATTACAAGTATGTGTATGTATTACCGCGTTCAGGTATGACGTGCCTCGTAACACCATGTCCGACGACGTGGGAACAACATTGCTTTTGAAATGCGAGTCTTGAATGTGGCCTGTTTGTGGTTAGGATGGGGGAACCCCAACCCACAAGAGAGAAAAGCAAAACAGCCAATTCGCGAATGCAAGGCCCGGTCACACTCGCCCGCTGCATCAACAGTCTTGTCTTACACTGTTACACGCTTCGGGAACCGACATGATCTAAATAATGCTGCCCGACTCAGGGCTCATCACAATCCCTCTATCATTAGATTACAGCTTGATGGTGATATTGTACATATCCAACCCAACCGCGACACCCGTCAACACCGCCATATACCCGCCCAATATCCCCATCGTCGGAATCCTGCCCACATCTAGCGTGCGCACTGTCATGTTGACGAGGCCCGTCAGGAGGTTAGCCAGCAGGAAGATGGCCAGACCGTTCCGGTTATACGCCTGTAGTACACGGCTCGTTGCCGTGTGGTAGGCCTCCTTCTCCGCCTTCGCGTCTTGCGCCTTGTAGAATGCCGGGAAGAGAAACGTGTCGACCAAGGCAAAGGACAACATGAGCGCACTGTTGGAGGCCACCACCCACAATATGTAGGGTAGGTTGGCCAGTCGCCGTGACACCGTCAGACCTGCGCCGTATGTGTAGTCGGTGCAAAGAAGGTAGAGGGTTATCCAGATCGCCGACCACCCGGCCAGCCTGAGCACTAACGCGCGGCGTCTGGAGCCAGTGGTCCCGGGCGCGCCATCTCGGGGAACAAGGCTCCTTGGGAGGACGAGCATGCCCGTGTCTTGTCCGGCGAGGAAGATGGCGAGGTATCCAAAAAAGCTAAAGATGCCTTCTCTGTTCATGGACAAGAAGTCGGTCCTCGGCCCCGCTAGGATGTAAGCCTTCAACTCCGTGGTCTCCAAAACCACCTGATACAAGACACCAAGTAGGATGGCCAGCCCCGCATACGACGGCACCAACCTGAGCGCCGACTGGAAGAGCGCTACGAAAGGTGGCAGAAAGCCCAAGGTGAAGAAGAAATTCCAGTGCACGCCATACTCAGTCACGTGTTCGGCGTAATCCAGCCCCTTGACACTGAGCAGCCTCACAACGCCCAAAGCGAGAAGCGGCAGAGAGTGGCGCAACGACCGCACCAGCCTGGTAGCCAGCGGGGTGGATCGGCCGTCGGCGCGCTCCTTAAGCACAGGCCGAGATGCGACGACACCAGCAGAATAAACAAATGACCCGACACCCATGTCCATCAGCGATGTGCCCCAGGTTTCCACCTTGGCGTACCGGCGCGGGAACAGGCGGAAGTCGACCGCAAGAATGCAAATGCAGGTGACGACCATCATATTGCCGCGGTAGTTGGTCAGAAAAGGCTTGGTAGAGAGGGCACCGGGTGGCCCTGGCGACGCCTTGGACTGCGCATTGGGTGGAAGCTGGGGCTTTTTCCTGCGCGCCGAGGGGTTGTCCGAAAGGCTGAAATAAACCGCGGCGGCGGGGACCAGGAGGAGGATGTTGAGCAGGAGAGGCACGCTTGAGTAGAGGGTGACGGAGAGCAAGAGGGCGCCCACGTTGAGGAGGAAGTCGACAACAAACGCTAAGGGATTGTATGGTTTGAAAAAAGTCTGTCGGGCTTGGAGGGCGGACCAGAGGAGGGAAACGACCTGTGTGACGGGACTGATCAGCGACATTGCGGTAACAGCCTCGTTCGATATTTTTGTCTGATAGCTCATACCGGTGCCACTGCGCAAACCTGGGCAATCTCCACCACAGATCCGCCCGACAGGTTTGAGACAAAGTCCTCTTTCAATTGTTTGTAGCTCGGCGATGCTGCTGCCTTTGCGGCTGTCGCCGCCAAGTCGTCGGCCAGGTTGGCCATGGTGGAAAGATAACCAAGGGATTGGGTGGGAGGAGAGAGCGAAATCGGCGTAAAAAAAATCTCCTAAGATGACATCTCCCCAACAGACGATCCGGCGGAAGTCGCGACGGATACCGGAATCCCGTGGTGCCTCAGATAAAACTGTTGAGCGAGTGAGAAGTGACGATGGAGTCGGTAAATAGTTAGTCAGTCCTGCGGTGCCAGCTTGCGACTTCCCGATAAAGCCGCCAGCCGTCAAGGTGTGGCCCATCTAGCCAATAGCAAGCCCCAGAAGCTCTCCAGGCTGCAAAGACCCCACACCAGCTTCTTCCCTGTCACATTCCAGCATCAGAGGCCCCCATTCCAAACCCAATCCCCAGTCTTGAACTTTGAGTTGAGTTTAGGTTCGCTTCAAACTGTATCAGAGAAAACAAGTAGTAATTCTTACTTTCGCTTCCACGAAATTCTCTTTTTTAACTTCGAGTTAGGCTCTCAACTCCTTTAAGGACTTTAGCAACAACCATTGCGTTTGAACCTCGGTTCCGAGATTCAATTCAGGATGCTGCAAACAAATGCTGTCAGTGGCGTGCGTGGGTTTTCTTTGTCCTCCATCCTGGGCTGCGACGGGAGACTGCACAACTCAGGAGGCTGGTGACGACGCTCTGGAACGTGTAGCATACCGTGATTCCCCCTATCTTCCCCGAGAGATAGTCACACTTTTCACGGCCTGGTCTTTGTCCACAGTGCTCCAAGAGTGATGAGTCGCCCAGAGCTTTGTCTCGTACTATTGCCTCTGGCTGGCTGACTCACTGGGAATACCTGCTTTGAGGGCGACATTCTTTCAGCGCCGAAGAAAGGGAGAAAGTACAAAAGCAGGCGTCGCCGCCACTCACTCCGCCACCCTCGTGTCGCTGGTATGCTCTTCGACACTTGGAGAATTGCACTCAACACCGCCGGTAGCATTCTCACTGGGGTGTTGAATCACCTGAACACAAGAGGCACTCGACCGAAACTTGCAGTCGTTGTTACCACATTACATCATACAGGATGGAGACAGAGACTCGGTCTCGACCCGAGCTGCGTCCAGTTTGGACCGGCCGCGGCGACCAAGCCCACCCTTCTCCTAGGACCGCCGCGCTCTCTGCAACGAGCCCCCTTTACTCAGCCTCTCTGGACTTGCCCAGCCCTATGCACCCAATGTCCCCCGGCTACGACCCTATGAGAGCGCACGAGCGAGCTCTGGTGGATAAGCTGGACCGGTTCGACCATCGGGGGAGGCGCGAATCGCAACTGTCGCCAACCACCGCCCGCTCGCTCTCCCCGATATCCGAGCAAACTCGGGAGGCCCGGCGCGATTCTACCGCTAGCCTGCCCTTGCCCCGCGCCCCGGCGCCATCCCCGCTGTCTCCCACGCTCATGAAATACACCGGCCCGCAGACCCTCGCTGCCCAGACGAGAGAGATCTTGCTCGGGGGGTTACCTGATGGGCTACCGCGTTCGCCGTTAGCATTCTCCAACACCAGCCCCATCCACGAGCGCCGCCAATCGCTCCCACCACCGTACCTTAGTGGCCGGCGCAGCAGCCAGCAGATCCGAGACGACCTCCAACAACGGGGTCATAAATATCACGGCAACAGCCTCGGCGCCGACTTTTTCGTGTCAGCCGTTGCTCTTCGGAGATATAGTGACAGCTCCTTGACGGACGACGACAGGGCACCCCTGGAACGGTTGTCCGAAGGGAACCGCCAGTTCGCCATCCGTGCGGAGGTGAGACCGTCCGCGCCCGACCGAGGCCCTTTTCTCCTCAAGGGGATCCTCGACATCGATGCCCTTAGGGCTACCGTTCCGGAGCCGCCACCCCTATCGGCTGGGCCCCGGAGACATTCCAGCGAGGTCGCCATCCGTAGCCCTCTTCCAACAGGCCGGCGGCGCTCGTCGGTGGCGGCCAGCGCCAGACACGGTCTAGGCCCCGACAGGCTCCATAACACGAATACAGTGCCGATCCGTCAGTGCAGTTCCTCAGCATCCTTCGTCAGCCCCGCAGCTAACAAGTCTCTTCAGATGTCCCCTATGCACGCGCGTTTCTCCCCGTGCTGGCCGCGATTCTCTATTCGGGTCACATCCAAAAAGGCGACCTAGTCTATCTGCCTATACCTAACCCCAAGTCCTGGGCTAAGACGGTGGCACACGTTTACACCGGTCAGGGAGAGCTGACCGAGGAGATCAAACAAAACATCGAGTACCTCGCCGGTAAAGTGTGAGAGACAAGAGCGGGGGATGCGTAAAATCATCTTCTTGCCGTCATCGCCCACATGATGTGGGACGGCCCCCTCTACTAATCTACCCCTCTCATGTACTTTCGTATGACGGGATTTGTCCTGGACTTCTGCAGTATGTTTTGATGGCAAAATACACTAGTGAGAACCCGCGTTTACCTTTTCATCATGTAATTCGCGCTGACCAAGTTATGTGCACTGTGATTGTCGAAGTGGCGTGCTCGAGTGGCCATCAATCGAAAGCTATATCCTGGAACTGGGGGCTCTTCGGAGTGGGAGTTCAGGAGTTTGGTTCCCCTACGTGGCACGAGAGTAAGCTTCTCGCCCCTCAAATGTTCTGGGTCCGCCATCTGATCTAGGAAGTGGCCGAGTCAGGATGTCTAACCGGCTGACCCTGAGTCGATGCCAAATTCGATGAGCCCAGATTCGAATTTCCCCTCATCTTCAGCTCCGGGGACCACCGGAATCCCCTAACATGTATATATTCATGCCAACGAGTGTGCCCGGTGGTCGCCTGTCCTTTTGACCTCGCTGCCGTGGACGCTGCTCACATCAAGTGATCGGTGAATGCGATGTCAAAGTTGAACCAGACCACCAAAATAACAACTCGAACCGGCACAGCACTAAGTCATGCCAAGGAGCAACACCCCCGACCGTCGTCCTCCCCTCGCCAGCTCCGTCTCGGCCCCTAATATATTTTGCCGTCCGATGGAGCCCGGCCCGGCGCCGGTAGTGTACATCAACGGCTGGAATGGCGTCGGAAAGGAAACGGTAGCTGAGTATCTGACGCTTTTACTTGGCAATGACAACGCACTGCTCGTTGACGTCCGCAGCGTTGGTCGGGAAACTGCTAGCAGCAGCTCTTGTTGCGGTGGTGGCCACACGTCCAAGCACAAACACCGCCGCCGGCACGAACACCACCCCCTCTTGACTCCCGAACATCCCCGTTACTTCTCACCCGACCTCGATGCCGACGCCCACGACTTCAGCCCCTTACCGTCGCCGTCCTTCTCAACCTTCTCTTTCTCACCGCCCCCTTCCCGCTCCGCCTCCTTCTCCTCCTCCTCCACCGCCACCACATCCACCTCTTACACCTCGACAACCCCAACCACCACCAAACCCTCCTCAACCATCCCCTCCGACAAAAACAAAACCCTCTCCCCAACCCACAACCACCACCACCCACTACCACCCCCGCCTGCAGCCGCTCCCGCACCGGCTCCTACAACCACAACCGCAACCACATCCCCCACCCCTCCCTACCACACCCACACCCACACCCACACCCACGACCCCGACCCCAACCCCAACCCCAACCCCACCCCGCCCTGCAGCAGCGAGAACCTCACCGCTCTGCTCACCCGCCCGTCCAACGGCGCGCGCATAGCCGTGCTGCCAGCCTGCTGCCCGGACACGGCGGCGGGGCGGGCGGCGTTGCGTACCTTTGAGGCGGCTGCTGCGCGGGCGGGGCGGTTGTTTATTGGGGTTGTGCTGCGGTGTAGGGAGGGGGGTGGGGGTGCTGGTTGTGGCGGTGGTGGTGGTGGTTGTGGGAGTGGGACTGGGAGTGGTGGTGGGGTGGGGAGGAGGGTTGGGTTGAATACGGGTGTTGGTGGTGGTGGTGGTGGTGGTGTTGGCATGGGTGGAGGTGCGGTTGTGCCGGTGGGAAGGGTGGCTGCTGCGAGAGGGAGGGTGGCTAGTGTGGGGAGGTTGGACTCGGTTTTGATGTCGTCGTTTTCGGCATCTTCGCTGTCGTCTGGCCGGCGTTCGGGTGAGGGTGAGGCAGCGGCGGAGGACGGAGAAAAGGGTGATGGCGATGATCGCAACGGCGGCGGTGGAGGACAGAAAGGGTTGATGACTGCGTCTTTTCTAGGAGAGGACACGAGAGGGTATCAGGAGGCGAGGGGGAGGCGGTTCAGTTTGTCTGGTACTGAAACCGAGACTGGTGATGGGACTGGGGCTGGGACCGGGACCGAGGTAGGTGTTTGTTGGGTTCGTCGTTGGGAGCCCGACTTGGGCCTCGCTAGGCCCACGAAGGCTGGGCTGACCGTTGATGCCTCATGTCTGCCACCATTCGAGGTGGCGTTGCAAATTATCGAGTTCGTCAAGGGGCTACAGGCCGAGAAGGATGCTGAACTGTGCAGCAGTATTTGTAGTGCTGCCACGGCACCCGCGGAAGGGCCAGAAGGGGGGGGGTAAGCCGGGAGCGCCGGGGGCGGCTGGGGGGCAGTGAGGGTGGTGTCTTATACCAGAGTGGCTGGCTCTGGCTCGTGGCCCCCCTCCCCAGAAGGGCCCTCCCGAGGGCGAGGGACGGGCCAAGGGCGGTATATCTGGCCCTCCACGACGCACTACCGAGGCCAACAAGCCACGCCGCGCGCTTAACGGGTTCTATTGGTTTCCCCTCACCGACAAGGAAGCGAGACCAACCAGACCTGAGAGCCACACCGGTCACGAAGCCACACCGCCTCCAAGGGCACAAGACCAGGGCGGGTATGTCGGCACCACACCCGTGCGGCGTGTTATATTGCGCAGTGTGGTCTGCCTTGTTTTGTTTCACCACCTTCTGCAGGAGAGGAACGGGCCGCCTGAGACACACGCCCAAGCAAGGGTGGTCGGCCATATCACATGATACTTCAACAGGGGATGTTCGGGCCGGAGCGGCCTCCGACTCCTTTCCCTTGCGTTGTTCACCTTACACCATTTCAGGGGGCACAATACGGTGAAGGCCAGACCGAGGTCAACCCCATCCTGAGATATGGACCGGGGTCGAAACCGTTAAACCCTCCCGTCTAGGGTCGTCTGTCGACCGTTGGCTGTACCCCAGAATCGTCACCCACCAGTTGCCCAACGACCACGACCTTCCAGCAGCCCTGCGCCGGATTAGGGGGCGGAACGACACCCCCGGCACGGCATCTCGCAGATTCACCCACGATAGCCGCAGGAAGGCCCCCAGGTTACGCTACGGGTGCAGTAGACGAGTGGGGAGCATGGCCGGGGAAGGTGTCTACATGAGCCGGATCTTGGCTATGACAGGGGCGCGTGTCATGTAAGGGACGGATTGTGTACCCATAGTTGGCATATGGATGTATTGCGCGGCATGTTGGTGTCGACGTCGGCATTGGGCCTGCTGGAGGGAAAAGTCTCGTCATATTCTCATGGAAGAGATGGTGTCCAAACATCAAGGCAGAAAATGAGAACCCTAGGTAGTCTACGAAAAGCTTCACACAGTACTATACTTCTTCTAAACAGTCTCTTCTCAATTCTATCCCTATGTACTCGTCCTAATTTTGACAAACACAGCCGAAGCTAATGGCTCGACGACGATGTCATACTCATTGTCAACTTGTCATCGTTCTCATGTTCTGCCAACTTCGCAGCACCGAGTCTGCCACGTCTCATCGACATTCAACTCCCCCACGAACTGCTTTCCAACACGAACAATAAACAAGTTCCGTTCCCTGCCAACTAACCCACTCAAATCCACTTCGAATGCCTCTCCAAACGGAACACTCCGTGGCAACATCTCGCGACCATATCCACCACTCCCCTACACGAGCCAACAACGACAGTACATACGAAGTACATCAGGTACATCCACGGTACCTCACTCGGCAAACACAGACAAGGCAAACCAAAAAAAGCAAGAGTAATCTCCGCAAACCCCTCCCACTCCCTCCGATCCCCCGACGCGGCCCGAAGCCACAACCTCGAAGAAAGGGAACCCGGCGGGGTCAACTCCACCAAAAGGGCGATCATCAATCAACAAGGGGGGAGACATGGCCGCATAGGGAGGGGGGTTGAAAGTCAAATCCAGGCGAACCGAACCGAGCCAACAACATGAAGCCGATCCCCCATGATCCAAGATGGCGCAACTCAACCGCAGGCAAGCAATTGCTTCAAACAAAAACCCCCCAAGACTAGGACCCCATCGCAATCTTGTTGCGAGTCGCGCGGCTCCACGGGCGGTGCAACGCTGCAACGGGTGTTGCAACCTCCGAAAATGCTACGCCTACACTAGGGTGCGTGGGGGGAAGGAAAGCAAGGAGGCAAGGGCGGTCGTGCATTCGGTAGCAAACTCACTCATTCTCGAAGTAGGAAGCGGCAAGTCCCTTCGTGGCTTCTGCCTTGATTTCATCAAGACACCGGCCAAGCTTTGCTTCCCCAGCTTCCAGCCATCTTTGCTGCTTGCTGCTGTGCAAGGCGACCCAAGCGGAAGTAAATCAAGTTTATGGTCCGTCTTTCGTATCACTTGACCTGCCGTGAGACTTAGATTAGCATATCTACTACTATCAGCAAAACTGAATCTGAGTTGTTTTATCCAATATCCACCCACCATCCCGGCTCAGCTGCGAGAGTGGAAAGCAAGATAACAAAAGATCTCATATTCCCAGTTTCCTCACGACATTTGGTTGCAACCTACCCCCCGCCATCAGAGATCTGTCCGGTCTCCGGATCGCCACCATTGGTACGAATATTTCATACCTGAGTATCATCATCCATTCCTCGGAGAAGCATCGGCCACGACGCATCCCTCGTGCATCTCAACCCGCTCTCAAGCCGCTCTCGCACATACTTGCCGCATCCAACAAAAATTGATAGAGGCAATCGCCGCAGGATTGGCGTGCTCAATCAAATCACACACACACAGAGAGAGAGAGAGACAAACGCACAAGACGCACACACATTTGCCGCCTTTCCTCGTACGGCCGGCTCGCAGGACCCTTTTTCTTTTCTCTTCCTCCGTCGCCTCCCGTACCCGGCCAATCACCCCGCCCCAGGTTGGTTCAAACCACGCCAGGTCCAAGGCTTGGGCCCCCCCGCTCATGGGGCCTGTGAAAAGCGGTTGATTGCGTGCATACATATGGCGCGGGCGCAGGCACGCAGGGAGGGTCCAGACACACAGGGTGACTTGATTGAACAGCGAAAAAAAAAGAGGAGACAGGTCGAATTTCCCATCACGCACACAACCAAAGAAAAATAAGGGTGTGGAATATGTCAAAATTCGCATAAAAATGCGACTTGTGTGCCACTACCTGTGTGTTTGTGTCCCCCCAAAACTGGCTCAACACACACAACTCAAAACCGACACCGAAACAACACCCAAACAAAGCACCTTGCTGGTCCCGGCGCGGCTAAGTTAGGTAACGAATTTCACACCCGGTTTTGTTTCGTTTCATTTTCTGTGATCTCCTCCGGCCTAGACCCGGCCCTTGCCATTGAGCCAAGCGGCCCCAGATTTGCGATCCGCGCCGCCGACCGTTGACTGGCCGTGCTTTTGCCAGGGTCTCCCGGCGTGATGCGGGGCAGATTGCGGATCCCCGGCCTTAGTCGCCGAGAGGGATGCCGGATTGCACCCTATCGCCGTTGGCCCTTTCGCTTCGGTGTTTTGGCCGCAGCTTCGCACACACTTTCCAGTCTGCGGCCAGATGGAGATGGACAGGTGTCCGGAAGGTGACACCTCAGCGTTGCATATCTAAGCGGGCGGAATAGCAACTGCCCGCCGGCCATACATAGACGGAGACTACATTGCATCTGCCACAGTGTGTCGTTTTATGGCTTCACAGTCCTCTGAGCTACCGATGGTCATCGCCAAGGAGCCACGCCACTAGACTCCTTGGATAGCAACTCCGGGGTTGACTCCGGAAATCAACACTTAGAACCCAGAAACTAGAGCGGCCTTGGCCAAATCCATATTCTGCGCGCAAGAATCCAGAAAGAAAAACCACAAATCCTACTTATCCTGTCTGCAGTCAATAATTACCTAGTTAGCGTGCAGCGCACCGGCATAGCAGCAAACCGTGGGATCGTAGTTAGCCTTGGCATCTTGATAAGCTTCTCGCTTCGTAGATCTTCTCCTTTCTTTTTGCTTCCCTCCCACGGTTACCACAACCGTCGATCAGGACGTCCGAGATTTCCAGAAGCAGGCCGGCCGAGACCAGCCTATGAGACGGACTGGCGGCTCAACCTCTTTTTACGACTCGCGAAGAAGCAAGAGGATGCTGGTATGAGCATCTTTGGCATCGTTGGAGTCTTGGACCAGCTTTCCCATGGTAGCTGCCACATGCCCAAGGGGCACAACAAGCCACGCCAACAAAACGCCACGAGTTTGATAGTCGCTCTCACGTGAAGGCGTGGACCGATACTGTGGTGTGCCATCATCGCGGCGTCGCCGGGTCCCTGAGATCGCCGTCACTCTCCCGGCTAAGCAATCTCGCGGGCGTGTGGTGACGCAGCTCAGGTTCACGACAGCCATCACCCTTTCGGGTTCCTCGTGCATGCCCGCAGATTCTAGCCATCCATCCACCCACCTACCCACACACACTTGCCGTCCGCCGGGGCGCCAAGCCCACACCTCCTTATGTCACGGAAAGGGGTGTTGTCGCCGACGGAGGCGGCGCCGGTATGTTTGGAGTGTCGCATTGGCGGCAGTCACTCCCCTGCTGTGCCCCGAATGCCGACTTCGCAAACCCACCACCCACGGTCGTGCTGTTCTGGAACAGCAGCATGACGCAACGTCGGTTTCGTGCCGCGCCCGGTTTGTTTTCTTTACATCTCTCGTCTCCGCTTGTTGACACGCTGGCTCCCGCTTCCCCAGGCTCCTTGCGTCAGTCCTCGTCCCGCGGCATGGCAGCCTGCCTCCGCGTCGACAACCCGCATCGTCTTTTTGTCAAGAAAACCCCCAACTGCCGTGGGAATTATCAACTAACGACTGGGGCCGTGACAGCGTGGGCGTGCATTCGCTTGCCGTAGTGGTGCACCACGGCGGGAAGCCCTGCATCGGAAAGCCCTCCCAGTGCTGGATGAGGTGGCATCGCATGCATGTGTTGGATGTCTTGGACCTGCGGGTGCGACATCCGGCATATTAGCATATGCACATTGAACTGCAGCGCGGCAGAGTAGAAAAATAAATGCAATGAGACGACAAGAGTAGTGGTTTGGTGAAAATGCGGTTGGCGAAAGTTGTCTCAAAGGCCGGTGACGCGTCCGCGCTTGGAGGCAGGAAAGGAAAGGAGAAGGATACTTGCCTAGTACAAGCTCCAGCGCCGTTTCTCCCACGCGCACCGTTACGGAGTCCGGCAACTCGCGGAATTCTCGGATCCCGTTCTGCCTTCACCCCCTCCTTTTCCCATCCACCCCTCAGCCCCTGCCCCCCCCAATGAATGCATGTCCGTCACCCAGGCCGAGGGTAATCTCTGACTGGTGGGCTTCGAGAGTGCTGATCGTGAGCACATGCGCACGACCGATCCCACGGTTTTAACTAGCCCAGTCTGGAACCGCTCCGATGTGGCACAGCCACAGGCTCATCTCGTCCACGTGCGTGAACTGTTTGGGAGAATGATCGTCGAGTTGATGGTTCTGTTGATGTCGATTTGGATGTCGCTCAACCCTCAGAGGTAGATTGGGTGACGAGAGAGGGCCGGGTCCTGCTCCACTGCCATCCCGCTCCTCCTGCCTTGACACGCTCATCAACAGATGCAGACTGCAGTAGCTTGAACGTCTGCTGCAAGACATGCGTCGTCAAATACCCACCCAAAGTGTGCCACACTTCCATAGACCTGTGGGCCCAACAGATGCAGGTCCGAGAGGAAGAGGTAAGGCGCGACTCCTCTGTTGAGAGGGGTAAACAGGAGCGCTGTAGTCGGTGTTGGATACACCCTCGAGGGGTGCCTTGGAAAGCCTGGCTGTGGAGAGGCCTGGCAGGGATCAAGCGGCTCATTGTGCATGTTGGTGGGGAGCGGGGACTTTCGACCGTGGGCAACTGTTGAGGAGATTGTCAGATTGTTTACCCCAAGGCCTCCACTACGCCGATGGTTAGCGGCCTTAGATCGATGCGGATTGACGGTTCGGTCGATGGCGCTTGCTCCTTGCGTACCTAGTGGGTTACGTGCCGCATCGTAGTGGACGTCACCTCGGGCAAAAGTGGCATCTTCGTGTTCAAAGGCGTGAACAAGATCGGAATTCTTCCTAAACTAGTTTCTTGGCGATCAGGAGCCTCCACGCCCCGGCGGTTCTGTCTGCCAGCGAGGTCGCGTGCCGACGTGAGGCGATGTCTCAGGTAGGTAACGAGAAAGTCTCCGTGTCCGAGTTCCGAGACAGGTTCACCGAGTTAGCTAGGGTCGGAGTTGTCATGGGACCGCCGGGTGATGATGAGGTGAGACCGTGTCTCCGTGCTTAGCCGGTGGTTGTTGAACGAGCACCTTTTCTGTTTTGAGAATACCTTGGGAGGATATCCCGTCCCAATCCCGTCCCAATCCCGTTTCGGTATGATCCTTCTCGCGAGCGGGTGGGGAAGTATATAGGCGAAAGTTCTCGGTATTTTCCTGATCGTGCCGTTACAACGGCAATCGCATGAGGCAGGAGTAACGCCCTCTTGCATGCGGCTGCGTGGCGGGGCCACATTTTATAAAGGACAAGCCAACGTCTAGATGGTTCCAAGATGGCATATCCCTGGCGCACAGGCATGATGTATGTTAAGGCCGAGAAAATGATCGTCACGGGCAGGGTCTGCTTGATGGCGTGTTTAGCGTGCGTCACGAAGGAAGGCTGATGGTGTCTGGTCTGTGGTGCATGAAGCACGTAATGCCGTCGGTGTACTGTACCCAGCCCGCCTCCTGTGCCATGTGTGTGCGCGTAGGTGTGTGTCGAGGTGTGTGATGAGTTCTTGGTTCCGAGACCAATCATTGACAGGAACGGCCACTCCCCAGACATCCGAGACAGGTAAGCCGAAGACCCATCCCGTTGAGACAGTGACGGTGACGTAGAGTACGAGATTTTCCCCCGTGGTTCAACGGTCTAGGCTGCCTTGGCTGGGGTTGGATGCCTGTCGTTGTTGGGGAAGGAGCGGGTGGGCCGAGGACAGCGGAGGGCAGTCACGACTCGCGAATCAGCCAGACTTGAAGGCGGCAGGAGGTACCTGCTCGGTCAACCTGCACGCTCGACCTGCACGAAACCGCCCCTGTCCCGGAACCATCTGCTGCTATCTGCACATGGGGGTGTTCGTCGGTGTTCCCTGTCTGCGGGGACAACCAATCGTGAGGCAAGCTGCAAGATCGTTCATGCGCGAGGCCTGCCAGGGCAGTCGATGGCTGGTCCATCTGCAGGACGAGGACCGGGGTTCGAGGCGTGGGGGGCAGGGACCTGAGTTCGTGTGCTTCCCGATCGGGCACTCTATTTCCAGGACCCCGAGCAGGTTACCATGAGCGGCCATGACTTCGAGGTCTGAGATAGTATACTTGTAAGCTTTGCGTGAGAGTGGCATCGCGGTTCCGTCGAGGGGCCGCGTGACTCAGTCGATGAATATAGCCTCTCGGAGGCAACGGGTTGTGCTCAATATTTACTAGAACGGCAAAGATGCCCCCGCCATCATGCAAGCGACGACGAGGTTGATGTCAACAACATGGGCAGAGGGCCAATGACAGCATATTTCTGGCTGGAGACGGGAGTGAAGGTTGGGAAGCATTCGCTTGTTTCTTTAAACGCATGAAAGACTTGTTGAAATTTATTTGGATATACGATGGGAACGCGCATCTGCAGGAGACGCATCATCGTGTTGTCTGATCCTGCCCTGGTCAAGCCGATGTTGTGTCACATGGACTCCATCCAGCCAAGACGAAGCATCATCTTGCACGAGGCGCTTCCAGGGCAAACGCACAATGGCGTGCATTCATCTGTTGTACCACCGACGGGGGGCAAGATCAGCTTACAGTAGCCTGATTGGGATATGTGCTTATTCTTGATTGGTCAATTGTGATCATCATGACTTTTCGAATCAAGATCCCAAGCTGAGATCGTCAAGGGCCCCGGTTGCAACACTGATGAGGCTTCAATATTCTTTGACATGAGCATTTCCGTCAGTCTACACTAATCTACCTCTAACTGACTGTTCTAGATAGTGCGCCTCATTTTCCCTCTCCCTCGTGTCATGATAGTCCATCCTAGGTAGGACTGATCCCTGCTTCAGCCATGATCCCCTCCAGCTCCTCTTTTTTGTTGCCACCTAAGAAAATGTGAGAAATAGCTAGCGAAACAAGCACATCCGTGTCATTCTATGCCCACTGGGAGCCAGGCCATGCGCGGCGCGCTTCCGATGCCAATACCCCGTCCATCCCTAACACCCCAACAGCCCAACCATCCCCAATAGGTACCATTAAGATTTAGGTAGACACCGGCCTCTCGTTCAGAGAAAGCCAACCTCCAGTCCCCAGAGGTCCGGAAAATGAAAAGAGAAACAAAAACTCGAACTTTTGTTTTCCCGACTCGGCCCCGACCCGACCCCCGTTTATTTTATGGTGCCTCGAAAAAGAAGATGCCCCCTGGCATGGGTCACCCACATTCCTTCAAGCAATCCCAGCCCGTGTCGAGTCCTGTTTAACCTCGACCCTGTACCCCTGGTGCCATGGAAACCAAAACGAAATCCATATCATTCAGCCATGAGTCGTAATGTTCGTTGAGCCGGGCGGATGAGCGAGGGTCTCCTCCCGTCGGAGACCGTCGAAAACCAACATGTTGGTTGGCCAGTTTTTAGCGCATTGGAGCTTTTGCGGCTTTTGGGAAGGGAACTTCCGCCGTAACAGTGCACCCAATAAGATCGCCCTTTTGAGACGAAATGGCGACGCGGCGGTTTTGTGAAAATCGAGAGTGCCACATCGCTTTTGGCAAGTCGGGTCCATATGGCGTTGACATGCTCTGGCTGCGAGGAGGCTTCTCCTGCAGACGGAAGGTGTTATGCTCGTCACCGTCCTCGCGGCTTCCCCAAGATGTCTGTATTTTGTGTCAGTTGATGGCCAAGTGGGTGGAACTGGGGCATTCAGAGCATACCTGTTTGAGAGTGCAGAGCGCCCACAGCTTGATCAAGCCGTGAAAATAGCCGAACACGATGGAGACCGGCAGGAACATAATATCACTCGGGTTCTTGCGGAACAAGCCGACCAATTTTACCACTTTGGTAAAACCAAACATGAACGCAATTTCCGCTCCAAGCAGGATGTAGCGATTCCTGAGCTCCCAGCTCTCGGTGCCCCACCAGCACGAGAAAAGTAAGAGAGGATCGACCAGGAATGCCAGCGAAGTAAAGGTCGCAATGTGCAGGGCGTAGGTGCACCACGGCTGCTGACTAGATTTTACAGTGGTCAGCAGAAGCTCAGATTGGTGAAATGGGGAGACATGACATACGTAAGCACGTATTTCTCGTGCACCAAGCTGGTCCAGTTACTCCTCCAGTTACTTCTGGCCCAGCGAGAGCACTGGTAGAGGAACTTGGGGCTGTTCTCGAGCGTCGTTTCGATCTCGCAGTCGGGGTGGTACTGAATCCAGGTTTTCCACTGGTGAGCAACCAGCCAGCGAGTGACAAAGTTGTCGTCATCGGCATTGAGGATATACCTTCCCCACTTCTCATTTTTGAAGCTGCCCAAGAAACTGTAGCTCTTGAGAATCTCCGTTCTGTAGGCTCCGGTGCGCCCAGACATGCAGGACGTTCCGCCGTCGATATTATGCGTGGCCGAGATCTCGAAGTTCCGTCGCTCGATGTAGGCAGCTCCGAGCCAGTTGAAGATGCGTGTCATGAAATCGCCGTCGACCACGCGTTTCACCCTCTGACAGGTGCCCACGCCACCCATCTTGTCGTCGTTGTCAAATGGCGCGAGGAGCCATGGCATCAAGGTGGACGGCCACTCCACGTCGTCGTCGGCCATGACTGTAATGGAAGTCTTGACGTGATCGTCTTCGAGCGCCTTACACACCTGCAGACGTTTGTTCGCCTTGTCCACGTGCAGTACATCGATTTCGACCGAAGAACCAACATTAGACATTTGCAGAGTTTCAGCCACCTGGCTCAGAGCTTCGTGCTTGTTCCATGTCGTCACGAGCACTAGCTTGGCCGGCTTGCAGGCCAGAATGCTCTCGAGTGAGGGGCGTAGCTCCTCTGGGCGGTTGTGAATGGTGGGGATGATCACGGTGACGTCTTGGGAGGTGTACCTCGGCTTCTCCCAGTTTGGGACCACCGACTTGTACCTCCAATGGCTGATGCAATGAACGATAAGTCGCACGTAGCGATGAAGCCTATGATAAGCCGTTAGCCGTCTCGATACCGACAAACGGAAAGAAGGCTGTGGGGTGCCGACGAGAGAGGCACGCTGCGCCCGGGAAAAGCAACCATACCAGATAATTATGTGGAAAATGGCCCAAAATTTCGTGGACCAGAGAAAGTCCAGCCTCGGAATTACAATATCCATTAATGAAGCCATGTTGAGGCGGAACAACTGAAGAGTGGGTACTGTATCGGCCCCAAGATTCAATATGATTGGACTGGGGACGTCCAAAATATTTCCCTGTTGGATTTCTGCAGCTCAACTAGCACGTCTTGCTGGGCTGTGAGCCGGGAATCGTGGAGATGGTAGTGGCCTGGTCGAGACTTTAAGACTGGATTCAGGGACGGGGTTCAGACTGAGTGTGGTCTGAGGTGGAAGCGAGTGCAGCTGGTCTGGCGAGGCAGGAACGGCACCGCCGTATCACGGGAATCGAGGGCAACTGGCGTCGCCGTCAAGGGGATAGGAACGAAGGGTCAGCCTGCGAGGCCGACGGTTGGGGCAGGAAGGCTCTCGGACAGTGGCGAACGTTTGGCGAGGAAGGACCGGCCGTGTTCGGAAGGGGGACTGGGGCGGCGGAAGGCAGACGGAACGACCGACACAGGTTACTCCTGCTGACAAGACGGGAATGTGCCTCGGGGGAAGGTGCCAAGGGATGGTGTACACGACAAGATGGGCAAGAGCTTAAGGAAACAAGACCATGGCAGGGACCAAGTGGTCTCTTTCCTGGTGAACAACGACAAAAAGAAACAAGAATAGAAAAGAACAAGAGGTGTCGGCAGACTGTGTTGAGGGGGTCTAGACTCGGGGAGGGAGCAACGGGATATATAGGCAAGTGCACGCGGATAACAAGCGAGGCAAAAGGCGAGGCAGGCATTGGGACTGTTACTTAACAAGTCGGCCGAGCGTACCTACCTGTGGGAACGAGGAGGGGCGAATGGCGAGACGGGACTAACGAAGGAGACGGTACCTGGAAAGTACAGCACGCCGGCCACGGGCCGGCAAGCGTGTCTCGTGCATGTCACCACTGTGCCCCGAACAAGTCCACCAGAGTGAGGTGCAATTTTAAGGGTGCAGCCGTACCCCAGTACCCCCGTACCCCCGTCCCTCCGTACATCGACCGGCTCCAGCTCCTGGACGAAATCCCTCTTTTGGTGCGTGGCTTCTCGTGCGGTGGAAACGCCAGCCCATGACGGGCGAGACGCGGGTAGGTAAAATGTAGAACAGGGTAGCCGTCCGGCCCTTGTCCATAGGTACATGAGGTGCATTGCGCAGATTGGTCGATGAACCGCACGTCGTAGCAGGGCCAAGCGATGTCGAATCGAGGTAGGGGGGTGCCCCTACAGAGTCCCACACCATGGTGGCTTGCCAAGGCCGTTGGGGCTATGTTCCCTTCGGGGGCATCGCATGCACCTCGGAGGAGGGGGCGTGCAGCCAGCGTGCGGAAGGAGACAAACCACCCCACGTCCCTTTGGAAGCCCCCCCAGGATGTGCAGCTTTTAATTTTTTTGACATGCAAGCGATGCATTTCCTTCGCTGCTGTTCCATTGCCCGTTTTCAAGGCCTCCTATGGCGCCTCATCAGAGCGTTTTGACGTGCGTGTTTGCTGACAAAACTGAACTTATTAAAGTCGGCCCAGGGAGGACAGGGAAGAAGCTGCTTTACCTCTGGATTGCTTGTGCGGAGTCGTGTTTCGAGGTCCACTTCGGAGGAGGATCCCCAGAGGAGACAGCTGGGTATGTACCACGAATGTACTTCGTCCTTGGACTGTTTGGAATCCACGTGAGAGTCTGCGGCCGAGCCGCCGTGCTCCGGCTCTTAGGCGCCTGGGCTCGTCAGGCTTTCGTCGGCCCGGTGAGTCCACCGCGGGCTAGATCGCCGTCGGAGGGCGAGGTCTTCACAGATGGCTTTCTTTGGCAGCACACTTCTTGTGACGGTGCGCTGGCTGCTTGTGGCGAGTGCTCGATATCACATGGGGAGTGCTCCGGGAACGGTTATTGGCGAAAAGGTGGGCAATCGGCGCTGGAGCTCAAGACCCACAAGGGCCAAGGATCCATTGATAGCACAGTTTGCCAGTGATCGATCGTCCAGTGTGCTTGGTTGGGATGGCTCGATGGCATGTCCTGGCGAATGTCTGTGCGGCGGCAGAGTTCGGCGAGCTCGCAAATTTGCCCATTCTTTTTCCGAGAGACACATAGCTACGAATACAGATTAGTTAGTTGTTCGAACAAGCCGCGCGGCTGATCGTGGTGAGACTGGGCCCATGTTCACGCGCTGCACAAGGGAGCGCGGCTGAGGGGCGAGGACCTGGTGTGGAGCTGTTGGTTTCTGCAGTGAGTTACTCCTTGGCGTCGCTTTGACGATTCGCGAAATCCTCCAGTGCCCCCCAAAAGACCCCCAACTGTTGAAGATGTCTCGCAATTTCACCTGGACGTCCTTGTGTGCCCAGGCTCGCGGCCGAGAAGCGTGACAGCAAACGGCAACGCAAGGGGTGATCTCCCTCGACCCGGTCTTAATACGGACCAACCAGGTCTTATCATGTCACCTTGCTGAAGACCCCGTCACCCTGTTGGGATTCCGGGCCTGCCTTCTTGGGCAATCTTCTGGGGTAGGGGTGGGATGCAATTTGGAGAACCTGGAGTCGGCGCATCTCAGGGTCCAAACCCACGCAACCGCAATCTTGGACCAGGGTCGGCCGAAACCATCCGTGTGAACCTCCGCGAGCGGTTGTGCTGCGTCTTCCCGTCCCGGAGCCGATTGTGCTTGGTTGTATCGGGAAGCTCTGTGACGGCCCGGTTGAGTACGCAGGTCTTGTTCTCGTCTTCTGTCGAAGCCGGTGTTCTCCGGTGGCGAGGACGGGTTGATATCGCTGATCACCGTCCGGCTGAAGCCGGCTCTGCACATCATCACCTCGAGCCACGGAATACAAGACTCGCAAATGTCCTGTGGGAACGGCTCTTCACTGCCGTTACACCTTGAATGCATGATCCGTGCTCCCAAACATCCCATGAGCGGTCCGCGGGTCCCTCCGGAGATATCAACCCATTCGGCCGTGTTGAGGGTGCCAGTGATAGTTTGACCCACAGAGAGGTGAAGCACACAACGCCGTCGCAGTCTTCCGCACGCATCTAGGCCCAATGGCAGCGCCAGGTGAGCGAGCAACGGCACGCTTCGGTGAGCATCAACAGACGAGCAAGGATTCCGCACGGGCAGGGTGCGTAGATTTCGAGACCGGACTGGAGGGTCAAATGCCCCACTCGCCGGCCCGCAACACGCCCGCAGCCAGCAAGAGATCAGCGGCGAGTTCGGACGTGGTCCGTGGTCTGGAGTCTTGCCTGCGCGGCCAGGGTTGCGAAACCATCCGAGTTCTGCCTGTACTGTGTCGTTACAGGTATGGAACGGACCGGCATGGCGAGGACAGCGAACTCCCTTTTCGAGTCCGAGGAACGTTTCGCTGGGTTGGTAAGTATTGGCTCGGCGGCCAGGGTAGGGTTTCGCGCGCCAATTGCCTTCCCACCAGGAATGTCTCTCTTCCCGGTTGACGGACGAGTGTTGCCTGGTCTTTGATATGGAAGGTTCATCAAAGGGCTCCCAACAACAACAGCCTTGCCGGCTGCACAACCGAGAGGTATACTACCGACTAGGGGGGCAGTTATCCCGGTATTTGGGCAAAATGCCGATACAACTTGCTGGCCGCATTGAACCGGGCTGTAAATGAAAAAGCCGGGTGCTGAAACCGAAGGCCCTTGCGCGAGAAGCCCGCCAAGTCCGGGCTGAATCATCTTGGAGTCCAGAGATAATGGCGGGGAAACATCTTCTGCCTGCGACTATTTATCTGAAATGCGCTAGCAAGAGAGCCCGCTGAAGCTAATGGCGGGCACGGCGATCTCCCGAACGACTTGTGTGTGTGTGTGGCAAACAAATAACAAGAGCGTCGGTTCTGAAGGAATAAATTTTTGTGGGCAAGGCGCACAGGCCGCCGGCCGGCTTCGGGAGCGACCGCCTGCCAAGCTTTATCCCGCGAAACGGCAGGGGCGGGCCAATTTTGGTGGGGGGCCGTCCATTGATCAGCCGATTTTCGAGTCAACAAGGTCTTCGAAGGGCAGGAACAACTCAGGCATTGGATCGCAGCTTCTTGATCTGCGCCTCTTCAGTTTTGATGACGGCAGTAAGAAAGATAATTACGTGCTCTGACTCGGAAATCAGCTCTGCCTTAACCATCTGGCGATAGGGGGAGGAAAGCACGACCTAACGGTCTTCAAGGGTCTCTCCTGACATAGAAAGTGCACGCTAATGCTGGGGGAGGTTTTTGCTGTCTTCTAAAGTCCCGTTTGCGACCCCCAAACCGACCAAACAAAACACCTGGCTTTTCCTTCAAACATTAGGCGGCATGAAATTGAAACACCAAAAACTTACTTGCTCTTCCGGTTCTAGAAAATTCGCCGTATGTGTTTTCATCCCCCAGAATGAGATCAGGAGGTTTTGTGGCTACGGCTCGTAACTTGAAACCGCTCTTCGCCGTTCCGTTCCATGGCTCTCATGTTTTGGAGCGGCCTGAGCGACGAGCCATTGCGCAATCTCTGTTTTTGACCGACGGGAAGTCTCTTCAAGCTCACCTACAAGCCCTTCACTCAGGCAACGGAAGGATGACCTTTGCTGTCCCACGCCATCACCCCAGTCGTCGTCCAGGCAAATGTGGATAGCAGCGTTACATCCAGAACTTCTGTTTCATTTTCCAAATTCTTCAACAACCCTGCACCTCCCCCGGCCAGAGCAACATCCAACTTCCAAGATACCGTTTATCAACAAAAAGGAAACAAAATTGCTTCCGTTCACCATGCAGGTCTGCCCATCATACGCATCACATAAGGCATGCCGCACAAACTCCGCACTGCCTGCTGGGGCTTGTCCTTGTCTTCCAGGTCCCACCCGGCCCAAGCGCGGATCAAGCGGGAGAACATCGCCCGGGGAAGCAGGAAGGCTCTTCCGGGAGATGCGGACGATCTGGATGATGTGCACCCATAAACTTTGACCCGTGGCTCTCTTTATGCGGTCGGCGTGGCATGTTTAGATGAACCGTCTCCGAAAACGAGCACAGGACTCCAACGGAACGGCGGAGCCGGTGAGTTGGCTCGCACATATTGTTTTGGAAGAATGGCCGACTGGCAAGGGGCTTGAGAATTTTTTTTCCCACCAAGCACTCTCCTCCATGATGCGCCTTTCACCCGCATATGCCTTGGAGTCTTGGTTGCATTCTGTTACCACATCGTGCGTTGTCCGGCTTCGCTGATGCAAAGTGTACAGGGTTCAGGGCAGCAAATCCTGTCAACCAACACTGCAAAACCATGGGGCCTGCCTTCAAACAACATTCGAAACCTCAAGAAATTTTCTACCGTGCCGCCGGAGTCGGGGCACCTCGAGCATTCAGCTCGACCGGTCTGAGAGTGACCGGGCAGGCTAATTACGTGGTTGGCAGAAATAGGATCAGAGCGCGTGTTATGGGCTGACCGCTAGTCGCGGTCAGACGTAGCGGAGCTCTTTGGGAACCCGTCTTGCCAAACTCACAGGGTACAAGTGCCGGGAACGCCTTGATTTCGCCGATGCAGCCCTCTCCAGCCCCAAGCTTTCGGGCCAACTGGATACGTCCCGTCTTGTTACCACTTATGGAGATGCCCTATCGGTGCTCGGGCCGCCCTTGCTCACAGAGGCTCGATTTCGGCCACGGATACTGGCGGGGTAGCGACGATAGACCTCGTTGGTGCTTTGATGCGCTTTCGTCTTGTGGCAAGCGCCAAACTCGGTCTGCCTGCCGAGCGGCCGAAACCCGTGCTGCCGTTCTCGCACCTCAACTCAAGAACCCAACAAGCCGATAGGACAAGAAACTCATCCCTCCCAGGAAGGGGCCATTGGGGTGCACTGTTGCATGTTGAGACCGGCCCCGTGAAAGGTGACGAAATACAGGAGGATCCTTGCCTCCATGGGACTCGCCATTTGGCTTGCCGAGGCCGTTTCCTTGACACATATTCAAAGCCGCCGAGGCCAGCAGTGTTGTCAAGCTGAGGGGAAAGTGTGTCCTTTAACCTCTGGTTGGCCGAGGCAGGGCGAGTTTGGGGTTGAACACCTGTCCCTCCGTCCCACTGTCGACGCCATCAGGCACATCCAGATCCACATATCCAGCACACCTACCTCAAAACACTGCGGGATGGGTGTCGTCATTCGGGGGCGCTCTTCGACTTTCTAGCCGAAGCTTGGTGTTATGACCAGGATACCCCGCCTTCTATGGGTTCGAGGCCCGTCGTTAGGCAGTCGAATATAGGGAATGGGCGTCCTACTCTAAGCATGATGTAGGTTCCAGAAGCGTCGCGGCGTCTCCAACATACGTGACAGTACCGAGAACCCCTGGAGCGCCGAAAATGAAGGGCGAGATGTGGAGCTGAGATTTCACACAACACACCCGGGATGAACCAAACTGTACCCAAGCCCGCGTGACGGCCTGGACTTGAGAGCAACTTGGGATGTCCCCCATTGCTCCGACACCCCGAACAAGCCGCGAAGAGCACGGCAAATCCGAATCCGGACCACTCAGGATGCTGTCGAGGCCCGCAACTTTGGGGCAGATCTCTCCAGCCGCGTCGGCCGCGTCGACCGCGTTGCAGGTCCCTCATTGGCAACGATGGCCAGGTTGCCAACCAACGCCACTGGCCGTAGTGGCGTACTGTCCCGTCCAAGAAACCAAGTTACCGCGATTCATAGGCCCAAGTCTCTCCGATCCGGCCAGGGGGCGGGTTGATGGCCGTCGCGATCGAGTCGTTCTCACAACTGGCGCTCTCACCTGAACGAACCACGCGAGAGGGTCTGGGAAAAGGCCAGCTGCAACCTGCACCCGGCCATCACCAACAACCAACCTAGCGCTTTGTCGAAACTTCCCCTCTTGTCGCTGGAGCGATTCGGACCGTGAACCGGGTCCGCGACCTGAGGGAGATGCAGCTGGTTGATTTTTGTTTGACATCGCCATGTCACAACACCCCACGGATCATGGGGTGAATCCGAGATGGGCAAGCCGAGACGGAGCGGTCCTTCCCTTCCTTCCTAAGTCAAAGAGGCAGATCCCCGCCGCTAAGAAGGCCGCTGCCTCGAAATAACCACTCAGCTCTCGCCTCGACCTCGTCCCTTTCTGCGGCTTAGGCCTACCAGCCCCTCAGTCGTTAGAACGACTCCCTTTCACGAGGGCATAATCTCCCGATGCCTTGGGCTGTGATAACTGACCGACTCGCACGGACTCCCTCGGCGTTTGGGAGGTATGTCGGGCCGTCGGCGGGTAAAACTGATCGTTTGTTGAGTGGCTAGTACATAGCTAGGGGCCGACAGACGGAGGAAGGCAAGCTGGGTGGGCGCTTCTTTCAAGAAGCCCAGATCAACTCAAACCATCGCCATCTATTCGTGATCGCGATGTGCTTCACGTTGGAGTTCCGATTCACCCCCCTCCTCGGGTCATATCTTGCCGCCCGGGGTTAAACGGGGAGGCCGAAACGACAAAGGAGGTTATTTCCGGGCCGGCGTCGGCATGGTTGGCCAACGGCAACACGGCGCTGGGCCGACAGGAGACTATTAACTGGCTAAATGGCACCCCGAGACTCGCTTTGCTGCAATGCTGCCCTCCAACTTCGATCAGCACGCTGCCCTTGGAGCGGATGGCCTAGTTCGGCACTTCTTGAAGGGGGTGGGATGCCTTCCAACTAACTTCTCATGCATAGGAGAAGCAGCGATGCATCTACTGTACTGTACACACGGGCCCTTATCTGAATCCTCCGGTCCTATCACACCGCCAGGCATGCAACGAGGCTGGAAAGGCAGGTCGATAACGTCGGACGGGAGAAGCACAAGAACCGCACCAAGCACGAACACCCCGCCGGCAGATTGTTCATCGCTCGCTCAAGGATACAACAACGGCCCGAGAACAATCACACACGATCGGTCGCCGCAAAGGGCAACTCACCTTTTTGAACCATTTTCTTTTCCGGCAGCTGCCGGAGGCACAGGACAGCATCGCTTCCCACCGCCTTTCGTCTGGTCGTTGCCCCACCGCTCACCGCCCTCCTGAAAATCCACCCGGGGATCCCGGCCGGTTGCTCTCTTCTCGGCAAACCCCACCGTCGCAGCCCACCAACCGAAAAGATCAACAGGTCCCGGCCCGTCCAGACAGCATGGGACGACAAACCTTTTTTTGAACCATTTTGTGAAGGATGCGAACCTCATGATCTCTTCAGCGAAGTCCCCTGAATTGTTTTGCTCGTGGCAGCCACGGACTTCGAGGGCCGTCGTATTATTGCTTCGACTTTATTTTTGGCGCGGGGAAGGAGGGGCTCAAGGAAACGCGGGGTTGGGTTCGCCGCCCGGGACGACCACCCACAGCCATTGATTGCATCGGGGAACAATCGTATTGAGGAAGGAAAGCGGGAAGCTAAAAAAGCATCGGGGCTGGGGGAGGGTCTTTGCGAGGGTTCTGGCCCCATGGCATAGCAGCGAAGGTTCTTCCCATAGCAACGAGGGAGGTTTGGGTTGCCCTGCGCTTGGTTTGCATCCATCATCCTCTCCCTAGTCTATTTCCGTTTTCAGTCTATTCCGTCTTCAGTCGATGTCCTTGCCACTGGCGTGGGACCCGAACTATCGAACTGTGCTATGTACGAGACAAGTCAGTCGATCTTGGTTCTCACCCCGCATCAGGCGAGAATCTGCGGAGGTGAGATCTTTCTTCCGGGGAATGGAATTGAGACAACAAGCGGGAGTCGTCGATCAGCGGCTCATCCCACCATTCTCTGCTTGCGCTGGTGCTCTGGATGGGAGGTGGACCGCTCCCGTCCGTGTTCGCGGGGCAGCGGGATCGAACGGCCGGGTGCGGTGCCCACCATCAGGTCAGGATCATCTGTATCCGGCTGGCGCTATTGACCTCGATCCCCTGGACGGGCCGGGGCCATCTCTTGACCGCCGTTACGGGTCGCGAATTCCGCGTCTGGGCAGAGTTATTTTGTTACCAGTCGTCACCACAACAACAGCGATGTTTGTGAAAAAGAAAAAGAAAATGAAAAAAAATCCGCAACCAACAGTGGCCACAGTTGTTGCAAGTGTCCGTGGTGTTGATGATGTCTCTGGTTGGTCGTGTTTCCGGCCATCTCGTGAAAGCCCTTCCTCCCTCTCAGAGCCAATCGATGAGAGTCCAGCCATCCAGCTGTCCGGATCTAGGCTGCCCAGCCAATCAAGCCGACGCGCAACGAGCAAAGCGTGTGGCTGACGATGCGTGACGGATGCGCGCTTTGCTTGACCGCTACTGGACCGCCGTTTCAGGGCCCCGCACGTCGCCCAAGCCCCGGGCAAGGCATCCTTGCCAACCCCTCCTCTTCCCCACAGTCGCACATGGACGACGAGGGACTGAGGCTGATGAAATCGGTGTGGTTCGTCGATCCCGCCTGCGTGGTGATGAGCGGGTTTGTCGGTCTGATTGTCGCAAAAACAACCAACTTCATGCCAGACCTCGCTCTTTATTCCCAGTTGCCTTCCCTCCTCTGGACCGCATTCTTCAATTGCCGGCTCATCCGCGCCGTCTGTTTCGCTGATCTGACATCTCAACATCAGGCAGCCGCTTCTCCGGAGGATTGCGACAAAAAACGACTCGCGATTCGGCTGGTTCCACATCTCTCTCGAACGACGTGCTTGTGTTGGGGGTTTGTGTGTATTTGTGTGTCGGGTTCTATCCGCGGCCGCGCCGGCGGGATCCTTTTCTCATTTCTCCTCCCAAAAGTGTCACGTCTTTAAATGCTCTTCGAAAGGACTCTAGTGGCCGTCTCGATCACCCGCTCGTCGTGTCGCGCCTGACACGGCGGCAGCGCCGAAGAAACGTCGCGGGGCTCCTCCTCAGTTGCCGCCTCCCGCCCCCCGCGTCCATTCTCCGGTGTTAGGTCCCTCCCGAGCGATAACGGGCATCTCTCCTCGCCGTGTTCTCGAATCTTCGGTCTGTGCGGTGCGTGCTTCGGGAACCTCGGTTGACGACAGAAATGGCGTCTGTGGGCAGTGGTCAATCTGGGACCTCGGTCACTAAGATTACCAAAGCGAGAGGGAAAATGGTAAAGCCGATATTGAAGAGGCTGTCGCATTCGGAGAAAAACTCGTTGGATTTGGATCGGGGTTGGGATGAGCAGCAGATTGAGCAGTTGACGGCGGGTGGGATGGGGGGTTGGGTTATTCGGGGCAGGCGAGAGATGTCAGTTTTGGCTTTCCTAGTGCTGCCGGTCTCGGGGCAGGTGATGCGGTGGCGGCGATGGGTGGGGGAAGTGCCATCCGAGCAAACCTCAAGTTTCAACACGGTCGTTCCGGTTCTCAAACTTCGGCTGGAAGCGGATCTCGCGCAGCGTTCGTGCATCCATTTGCGCAAACACCACGCACGTCCACGCCGCCATTGTCCTATGCCAACTCCCTGGCGTCGTTCGACAATGGGAGGGACATCTCCCCTACCATCACCGAGACCGAGGACGATCTGGGCCTTGACGCCGCCGGCAACACGTGCGGACAGGTGACTGCGCACCTGCTACCGGGTTGGGAGCCTCGCCGGCTTGCTTTCAACGGCCTTCATTGAACGGCCACCGCGCCTCGTCGTTCCCAGACACACCTGCCTCGAAACCGCCATCTCTTCGCATTAACACCAGTGGTCGATCGGTCTCTGGAACCACCGCAACTTCTTCACGTCTTGCCCACGGAAACATTCCCTCTCCAAGCCATTCCGAACTCAATCTCGATTCCTACAACTTGAGTATCAGTTTGAGTGGCACTCTCGATTCACCTACAGGAAGCTTAGGCGCTGGCAGCGTCATCGCTTCGCCTCAACAACAACAGTCTCAATTATCACCTCTTCGTGCATCGCTCGACATGGGCGTGTTCCCCAATCTCCGTCGCTCCGAGTTGGACACGGCCACGCGGGACGAGAACATTCGTGTCGCGCGCCGTAAGTTCGAGGAGCGCGAACGCGAGAAGGAGGAAAAGTACGACCGCGAAATGATCCGCAAGCGCGAGCGGCAAGACAACAAGGAAGCCAGCCGCATCGAGAAAGGCGAGGCACCGAGCCGGCCCTTGATGCATCGCAAGAAGACGGCTACGGGGCTGTCGACCGTCTCCGAGCCAGGCCCGAAATCCGCCAGGCCGGATCTATCAACCTCACTGTTCGGTTTCTCGGCTCCAGCCCGCACCAGCGGCGTCGTGCTTGGGGTTGGGAAACGGCGACACACCGACTCGCCCACGATGACCAAGGGAGAGAAACAGGTGGGTTTTGCCTCTCGGCGGTACGAGAGCGTCTCGCTCTTGCCCCAGACGCCGCCTTCGTTTGGCGTGACGGTCGACGATATGCCATTCGAACGGCCACAACCACGGCGGGGAAGCGGTGCAAAGTCCGCGAAACAGAAGACCCAAGGATATTGGCAGGGGTTCCTCCTCTGGCTGAGGACGAAACTACTCCGTATGAACTCGCGGTAGATGGCCCTCTTCACGCCTACTTACGTTCCGCTTGGGTTAAATCACAGGACCAAGCGGCAAGGGGGGCAAACAGAACCCCTCACATTCAACATGACCTTCTTAAGCAAGCATACATCGCAGCGACCAACGCACGAACATTAGCCATTCACACGCACCAACCCACCGATTTGCACTCGGTTACCATATCAGCAAATCACGTTTTACCACCGATTTGACGAATCATTTGGGTGACTTTTTAGGAACCCGAAAACCCCCGCAGACATTAGACATGATTCATTCTTCGTCTCTCGCGACGACAACAACCAGTACACGGCGGAGAGCTACGGGGTAGCACACCCGTGGCATTTGGAGTTGCTTTTTATTATGGCGTTGAAGGGCTGGGATTCCTGTCCTTTGAGACGGCACGGAACCGGAGGCTGGTCTTTTTGTTTTCCCACCCACATTTTGCGAGGGCGTTTCTGGACGGGGACTCTCTTGTGGTTTTTTTTTTTCGTATCGTTCTTTTGCATGACATTTTCACGCTACCTTTTCCTTACGGTCTTTTTTTGGGTCTGGCTCTGTCCCTCACTCTTTCGGGAATTGGGTTGGATTGGATCAGATCGGTACCTGGGTATCGAGCCGATCTATCTATCGGTCTGCATTGGGAAAGGGGATTTCTGGAGCATTACGTCGTCACGTCATCACGTCACGGCAGATCATGGTCCCGGCTCGGGTCTGGGATTTAGAGGGCCATTGAGCTTTGGGAGGGGTTTGGTTTTTATCTCTCTGGATCATCGGGCTGGACTGGGCGAGGTCCCGGAAGCAACTCTGTCCCCGGACCTGGGGTTTCTGGTTTTGCTTCTTTTCTTTATTTTCCTTCTTTTCCCTCTCTCTCTATCGTTAACGGGTCCCGGTGGGTGGGTTAGATAAACATGGCATAGTGCGGTCGTGGTTTGGCTGGACACACATGGATTAGGTGGAGCTCCCGCATGTGGTTGAGCTCGCCTGCGGTCAATAGACTGCCTCGCGTTAGGTAGATCAAGCTTGCTCGCTTGTTTGCTTGCTTGCTGCTTGCTCGCTTGCTTTGAATTTACTTGATGCTCCTTTAAAAACATTATGGCGTGATGTGAGCTGAGACAAAACCAAGGGAGGGGAGACGGCTTGAGCGGCAACACTGCTGGCTGGTCATGTCTCTTTGTTCAGGTTTCCGCCTTCCGGACTCCCGTTATTTTTGCCATTCCTACATTGAGCCGTCGACGATAACCCACCTGTTTATCGCCAGTCGCCATTCTTCTCAGATCAACCGAGGCATCACCAACGCTCAAGTGGGGCATCACTGCAACCCTGAACCCACTCAGTCATCTCTGATCCCTTTTAAAGGTAGGTATTCGAGGTGTACAAAAGTAACACCAAACGGTGTTTTATTGGACCCCAACTCCATGGTTTCCTTTCGCCCATGATTGAAACTTCCTTATTGATGAAACTCGTTCTTCACCGAATCGTTGTTGAAGGATCCTTCCTAATCCTACCCTGGCTCGTTAGTGCTCACTCATGCTCAAACAGGGATTGAATTGCGGGAAGTTGCGATGGAATTGAAGTGAGAACCATTAGAACCGCGTCTGAACATCCACAACTGTATTTTGTTGGTACCCTTTTGGGCTACCTACGATCTGAGGTGCCGGGGAGACAACAATCCATCTCAACTTCGCGTCTTCCGTAGACGTTCGACAACATACTTATTATTCGACCACATACTCGCCACGTCCGATTCCATTGAACGACAACACAACAATGGCTCCCCAAACCAGGCGATTCGCCAACCATCCCGGCGCAAAAGAGGCACCCGCCTCGGCGTTGGAGTACCGCATCGAAGAAGACCGTAATCCTCCCATGCGTGGCTATCCTCTTGTTCTCGCCTCGGCCATGTAAGTGTGTTCCCCATGTATATACCCGCAAACACCAAACGCAACACCAAACTTGAAGGCCGCCAACCATTGCTCACCACCCCCAGAATCGAACGCTTGCCCTTCCTCCAGAAACTACTCTGGAGCAACGCTAAGTTCGGACAAGCCAAATACACCCCCGGCCTCGACGGCGTCCCATGGCGAATCCAGGTAAGGCAACCCTCATCACCACCCCATCCCAACCGCCCTCTAACCCTTCCCCCCCACCACCCAACAGCCGGACGTAATCCCCCTCGCCGACGGCACCTCCCCAGACGCCATGCTGCCTCTCGAGCCCGAGCTGTGCCGGACGCAACCCGCCGGGCTGGCGGGCCGCTTCCTGTCGGTGGCGGACTACCACGAGCTGTACCAGAGCGGGGCGGCGTCGCCGCTCGACGTGGTGTCGGAGCTGGTGCGGCTGACAGACGCGGCCCGCCGGCCGCTGTCGCCCTACGCCGCCGCGTGGACGCAGGTGCGCCCCGACGAGGTCCTGAAGGCGGCCGAGGCGTCGGCGGCGCGCTGGGCGGCGGGCAAGCCGCTTAGTTTTGTGGATGGTGTGCCGTTTGGGGTCAAGGATGACTTGGCGGTGGAGGGGTTTGTCTCGCGCATGGGGATGCGGATAACCAAGGGGGAAGAGTATTTTCGGCGGGAGTGTAAGGATACCGTTTGGCCGGCGAAAGCGTTGCAGGAGGCGGGCGCGATTATGGTGGGCAAGATGAACCAGCATGAGATTGGCATGGGTAAGTTTACATGTGTTTCCCCTGTCAGGGGTGCTTTCTTTTGCTGACGGCGTGGCAGATACGACCGGCTGCAATGTGAGTATTGGCTGCCCTTTTGGCTGGGTTGCTTGGTGATGGGGACTAATCTTTATTTTATTAAGCCGTCAACGGGGACCCCCATCAACTGGTACAACAAGTCGTACTATCCAGGCGGCTCATCATCCGGCGCAGGGTCTGCTCTCTGTGCCGGCATGGTACCGATTACGATCGGGACCGACGCAGGTAAGTGAAGCTCAGCAGGTTCTTCCAAAACATACCTGACGATTTGTTGCGCTCCAGGTGGCAGCATCCGAATCCCGTCCTCTTTTTGCGGTGTCTACGGCCTCAAACCTACACATAACCGAACCTGCCACATGAGCTCGTCCATGTGTACGGTCGGCCCCATGGCCTCAACCGCGACAGACCTGACCATCGCATACCGGTTCGCGTCACAGCCCAACCCCAACGACCCCGTACAGAACCTGCTCGCCGTATCCACACCTCCGGACTCCTCCGCCAAAAAGTACGTCGGCGTATGCCGCCAGTGGGTAACCACGGCGGACGCGGACGTGCTGGAGATCTTCGAGAAGTCGCTCGCGCACCTCACCACGCTCGGATACGAGGTTGTCGACGTGGATCTACCGTTCCTGCGGGAGGGCCAGCTAGCACACTCGGCGACCTGCGTGACGGAGGCGGCGGCAGACGCGCGGGCGCGCGCCAACAACCCGGACCGCTTCCTCGACCTGCTCAGCCCCGCCACCCGTGTCACCCTCTGCACCGGCACCCAGACCCCAGCCATCGACTACCTCCGCTACGGCCAGATCCGTGTCGTCATCATGCGCCACCTAGCCTTCCTCTTCAACAAATACCCGGGCCTGCTACTCCTCACCCCGGTCACCCCCGCCGCGGGCTGGCCCATCATCCCCGGCGACCAGACCTACGGCTGTATCGACGCCAACAAGCTCATCCGCAACATGACCTTTGTCTGGCTCGCCAACATGAGCGGCTGCCCCGCCGTAAGCGTGCCCGCGGGCTACGCCGAACCCCCTAAGGAAGGCGACGGCGGCCCGCTGCCCGTCGGTTTGATGGCCCTTGCCGAGTGGGGCATGGAGGAGCAGCTGCTGGCCTTTGCGAGGGAGCGCGAGACCTACCTAAATCATGACTATCCCGGTGGCCGGCGCCCGTCCGAAGAGTGGTTGGATATAATTAAGATGGCGCGGAAGTGGCCGGGGGGGAGGGAGCGGGTTGACAAGCAGATGTTGGAGGCGCGGGAGAAGAAGCGAGGCGGAGAAAATGAAGGAGGCAGAGGAGAGGAGGGAGGCGGAAGAGAAGAGGGAGGGGGAGGAGACGAGGGTGGAGGAGGGGACGGGGGAGAAGAGGGTGGGGGAAGGGGAGGGGGAGGAGGAGAGGAGGGAGGTGGAGGGGAAAAGGGTGGGGGAAGAAAGGGGCGGAGGCAGGGGAGAGCCAGGCGGCGATGGCTGATTAATGGGTGGTAGAGATTGAGGGGTTTAATGATGGACCTTTAGGGTACTGAGCTGTATTATGAAGTGGCGGATGGTATAGAGGACGGAAGGTTGGATGTATGTACTAGTTGTGTGTGTCCCGAGTTAACTGTATAAGTCACAAGCCTGGTATGGGTTTTGACGGTCAATGTCTACCAAATCACACGGGTGATACTACCGTCTACTTGGTGTTCTTAGCCCTTTATCGAGCCATTTGGGTAAGAGATTGTGCGGGTCTTGAGAGTAGTTCGTATTTACTTCCCCGCGTCGACTCCAGTGTGCTCGTGCCACAACCAGCCACTTACACCATGCTGCCTTGATACCGTGGCGTGAACGGACAAACTTAACTGATGATATGGTACATCCACACCCCAAACGAGAGCATAATTATCTAATAAATACCAGCTCCATGTTTTTTAAGCTACAAGAAATGCTCTAACGCGAGAGGATGTTTTGGGAATGTGCTCAAGTATGCTTCTTGACAAGGTTACAGGTGTGAAAAGCAACTCTATCATTCTTCGAATTCCTTGACTTCCCGTTAAGTTTCCGCTTTTATCTAATGAGCCAACGTTTATGGAGGTAACAAAATTGTCTTCTTTCATGGTTTTGGCCTTAACGTGGTTGATTTACCGCGTCAAGCCCAACGCTTTATCAAGGCGGCCCTGTTCATACCAGAAGACGGGAATTTTCTGCATGGTGGGCAACGTATCAGGGCCTCTCTGTTTCCGGAACCTCCGATTGACCTTTAGCATTCTCTCCAAAAGCCTCTTGATTCCTCTGGTCCATGGGTGAAGACGCGAGCTTGAGCAGTTCTTTCATGGCCCCGCGATGGGGCTCCCGCAGCGCCGTTATTTCTAAGAGCAGCGCCTCATTCTCCGCTCGCCGGCCTTGTTTCCCATATAGAGCCGCTAGGTAGCTGAGACTCATCATCGTATCAGAGTCATCCCTCCCAAGAATTCTGGTTTGTATCCCTATAACCTCCTTCCATATGGATTCGGATTCTTCCCACCGCCCTTGGTTCGTGTATGTCTCTCCCAAGCACATCATGTAGGAGAGTGTGTCGGGATGTGAATCTCCCAGTTTCCTCTTCCCAACCTGCACAAGCCGCGCCCACAGCTTCCCAGCCTCGATCAATCTGTCTCTTTTGACATATGTTCGTGCGAGTTTTTCGATTGTAGATAGCGTAAGAGAGTCATCGGGCCCCAACCTCATGCTCTGCTCCTTGATTGCCAGGAGGAATAGCAAAGTAGCCTTTCGCCACTGTGCGTTTTCTTCGTGCTTTGACGCGGCATTGAGCGTATACATCATCAAACCAATTTGTCTTCTGCGCCGTCGGGATGCCTTGAAGCGATCTAGTATCTGTCGCCGTTGTTCTAGCGCCTCGTCAGCCGGTATTTGGTGTGAACCTCCACTATCTCCGGTTGGCTGAACGGAAATCTGGTTTAGACCTTGACGAGTGCGTGAGGTGGAGGGCCCGGTTGACGGGGGGTGTTCGGGAGTGGGTGGACGAATAGACTCAGGAGCGGAGAACGTATCGTCTAGTTGCATCGGCGGCCCGTTGGCAGGGCTGGTTCTGCCAGAAGACCGGTCACCCCGCCCTCGAGGACCCGACGGTGCACTCACTGGCAGATCAGCAACGGACTGGATGGCGCTCAGGCGACCGTAATTAGGGATCTGCTGGTTAAGTGTCCCATAGTTCGGATCCGGGCTGGATTGGCGGGTATAGGAGTCTCTAGGGGGTGGGCCGCTTGGCGAGGGACGGGTTGAGGGCTCCCATATATCATTGATGGGAGGCATACGACTACTGGAGTCGTCGTCAATGCTGGCGGCACTGTTGGGGGCACCATGATCTGTGAATACCGGCGGGCCGAGCGACTGCGCCGAGTCGAGGGATCTTTCACCCATTCTTTGAGAATTCGGCTTGTCCGTGGTAGAGGCGTCATCTTCGACAGGTCTCGGTAGTGCAAACATGGCAAGCCGTTCGAGGTGATGGGCCAAGTGGTTCTCAAGACCCTTGGCAAACGGTGCTGACTTGAAGCAAATTGGGCAGTGAGAGCGCTCGTCGGATACGCTAACACCGGAAAGTTCGACGAGGGTGTCCATCTGTTCATTTGTGAGGCGGCTGGTATGCTCCCGCTGCAGATGGATTTTCAGTTGATCTGGGCTTTTATAAAGCAGTTCTGGGCGCTCATAGCACCGATAGAGCCGTCTATGCTTTGAGCTCTCATGGTCTGCTCGTCGTACTCTTCTGCGGGGCATGCCTGTCTCGGCTTTTGCCTGGATCTAACATCTCAGACTGTGTTACGGGGCACGTATCCAACAGCACAACGACCAATACATGTAGGAAACGACCTTGTCTCGCTGGAGGACATCCTCTTCTTAACAGACAACAAGTGGCAGCCCCTGACGCAGGAGGACCGCTACATCCTCTGCATCACCTTGGTAGCATCCTTTCTGCAACTCTACAAGACACCGTGGGTCGGCGACCGTTGGAGCGGACGCGACATCCACTTCTTCGAACAGCCCTTGACCGCAACAGACCATGGCAGCAGCACATCCCCGCAAACCAAACGCGCGGACATCCACCACGCCTTCGTCAGCAAAACCTACAACACCACCCCCCACCACCACCCCCATCCCCCCACTACCACCACTACTCCCCAACCTCCCACAGACACCATCTACACCACTGCCACCCACGACGACAGCATCAACCTGCTCACGCTCGCCCGCCTCCTCCTCGAGATCCACTCCGGCCGACGCATCGAGTCACTGCACCATCACACGGACCTGGGCCCGGGGGCGCGGCCCAACGAGGCGACAGACCTGCAGACACTCAAGCGGTGGGTGCGGCTGGAGAAGGGCAACCTGTCGTTTGCGTTCCGCGGGGCGGTGCTGTATTGTATGAAGGGGTTTGCGGACCCGGACACGGATCTGGGGGATCTGGGGTGCCGGGCGGGGGTGGTGGAGGGGGTGGTGGTGCCGTTGCAGGAGGAGTTGGGGTTTTTGAGGGGCGGTGGGTGAGGTGGTGACTGGTTGGGTTGTGGTTGGGTTGGGGTTGGGGTTGGGTGAGTGGGTGTTTGTGGATGGTGTACCTAGGTACATACCTGCAGTGGTGTGGAAGGGAGAGTGATGGGGTTGGAAGCAGGGTTGGTGTTGTCAAGTCAACCTGTGTTGGGTTTTCGATGGCGAACCTGTGTGGCCCACCACTGGCATCTCCGTGGCGTCGAGATGGAGGGCAGTTAATTATTACACAGGTTAGGTGGAATGCGGAAGAGACAGAGGTTTAAGATGATACCCAATAGCGATCTTCGCAATGAATATTCCAAATACGCTTTACTTCTTTTAGATTTGTCTACGCATAGGGATGCTTCTCTATGCCATCATCTGAATTAACAGGATATGAGGTATCACAAACACCTAACCGAAGAGGCGAGCACTCAGGGGGAGGTGGTGTTTACGGAAAAG